TTTGTTTAAAAGAGAAAGTAATGGTGTAATTTCATTATTGCTATTATTTACTGATGACATAGCATTAATCACCAAAACTAAACAAGAAGCTACTGAGATAATCTCACTGTTAGAGAGGAAATTTAAGATAAAACAGGAGAAATCAAACAACATTTTGGTTTAAAGATAGATAGAACTAGGGGAGGATACAAGATCTCACAGGCAGATAAAATTAAACCAATCAAACAGACTGTTTATTATCATAATTGCTATATTCTCCTGGTTACTGAATAGTACTTTACTGAATAGTACTTCTGATCAGTGAAATACAGTTCCTATAGATTACTTCCTTTGTGGTATGTATTAACTTCTGGATAAAATTTCAGTAATTGTAAACCTGTGTAGTGCTAATCCCTGTAAGGGTCGCTGGAGTCTGAGTTCTCCTGGCTGTCTTCGTATGGTGGCCAGTCCGCATTGGTCCCTCTCTGATGACCTCTACTTGCTAGGGTCAGATGATGGGGTGGTGGTCAGCCTCCTCCCAGCAGGCAGGTTACGTAATGGGGTGGCATTCAGGTGACTGGTTGGACCTTCTTCCTCTTTCTCTTTTCGCTCTCTCTTTTTTTAATAAGTTTTTTATTTTATTTAAAATACATACAATTCATCTTTCATTTAATGGTGTGTTGTCTGGGAGGGAGGGAGGGAGAGAGAGAGAGCTGATGCATCAGATTGAAATGAGGCCTAGTTTAGACTGAGCCCCCTTTCCACATTGAAACATCTTTGGCTTCTATTAAAGGTTTTGTGGATGAAACATGGTCAAGACTATCAGGAAGCTCTCACATTTTGTTGAAGCTTTAAACAAGACCCATTGGACCAGAACTCCACCCTAAAAAAATACTTTTCCCCAGTGTATTACAGTGCCAATTCTGAAGAAGGCAAAACCAAAATGTACTGGTAAATTACAAGAACACACACACATAGATTCCCTTCTAACCCTGCTGGAGCAGGTGATTGCACTAGAATAGATATCTCATTATCTTTCTCCTCCCTCCCTCCCTCCTTCTTTATTTTTTTCTTTCTGTCCCTTCCTTCCACTCCGCCTTCTTTGTCTCTTTTTCTTTCTTTCCCTTTTCTCTTTCTTTTCTTCCTTCTCTCTTTCTTTCTCTCTCTTTTCTCTCTCTCTCTTTCCCTCTCTCAGGCTCACCCCATTGACTTGGTGCACTGCTCTGCTCGGACTTGCTTGGACAGGTTCCTCTGGTGCAACAGGCTCAATGGGGTGGACCTGCGGGGCCGGCACCTAGAACATGGTGGTGGCATGTTTGAAAAGTAGAGCAAAGCCAGAGGTCGGTAATTTTTGCTGCCAAGAATCACAAAAGCTTCTGGATTGTGCACAAGAAGGGACACACATGTCTATGCAATTCAGCAACATAAAATAAAGAAATACAAATAAAACAAATCAACAAGAATAGGCAAAGCATCTCTGATTAGATTCTATTCACTACTAGAATCTGATCAGAGATGATTTGCTGATTCTAGTCCAATTACCTGCTCCAGCAGGGTTAGAAGGGAGTGTGTGTGTATGTGTGTGCATGGCTGTCAAAACTCCCAAAACAAGTCAAGTAGCTCTGGGGAGGCCAGTCATAAATTAGAACACTTGCTAAGCAACCGGCCATTAAGTGAGGACCACTTGTATTTGGTTTGCCAGGTACCTGGCCATGCCGACCCAGTCACATGACCACCAAACCACACCTACCCGGTCATGTGACCAGCAAGCCATGCCCAGCCAGCAAGCCACGCCAGCCAGTCATGTGACCAGCAAGCCATGCCCACCCAGTCACATGACCAGCAAGCCGCACCCTCAAATTAGACCACGCCCACAGAAATTTGAATCCCACCCCTGTGGGGGGCACTGAGGATGAGTTTGTAGCACCAAGGGGGTGGTGGACTGAAAAAGTTTGGGAACCACTGCTCTAACAAACTACATCCATATTATGGCTAAAAAAACTTCATATCATCGTGAGGATCTAGGCTGGAGTCAGGAGAGTCTTTATCTTTCTCAGCACAAAAAGGTAATCAAACTATTAAAAGCAGGTAGAACGAAAGAGCTGTAAGAGCTCTTTTAAATACACATACATGCATACATACATACATACAATATTAGTTGAATAACTACAAGGATTATCAGATCTATACTAAGTGGTGTGTAAAATATAAAATAGGAACACCTGATCCCTTGATTGGATGTGTAAATTTGCTCAGAAATTCTAGGATAAAACTATAAATAAATTTATTAAAATTCTTTAATAACTCTTTAATCAAACCAAACATTCTATTTGAGAGTCTATTATGGCACTTCTGGTTCCTTTTTGCCCTAATTCTACTTCATCATTTCTGAATGTAAAGGTAAACATTTTCAGGTAAACATATATCTTGTATGTTCTGTTGCTTCAGTTCCAGTTTTCTTAAGCTCCAGTGTGATTGTCTCCTAATAAGGACAAGAATTTGGTTTAATATGTTCAACAAACCCTCTCTATGAAACCTTGTAATTTCTGCTTGTTTCTTTACTGTGGGTTATTGCCCCTTAAAAGTAGTCTGAAAAAGTGAAGACAATCTTACAGAATAAAATGTAATAGACTAGAGGACATAGTGAAATAATTACATGATATTTTTTGCCAAGCATCAACATCACTTGAGTTCATTGAGTTTCCACACAGTATACAGATGGAAAAATTATGATTTACAGTCAGTTTTGGACAAGACTCCATATTGCTTTCCAAGATTGTTATGCAAAACCAAATACTAAGAATTTAAAAAGCTATTCTTTACAAGAAGAAGAAAGTACCATGTTTGATATACTTACCGGGGCTGAAGATGGTAAGGTTTCCCCAATATTGCAACTTTTCTATTGATCAGAACAAAGTACTAGAATCAGCAGTATGTTTTTCCAATTCTTCACTTTATTGAAACATATAGTATAAACTATTCCAATAAATCTGCAAGAATTACAGATGGGCAATTCAAGGAAACTGAGCAACAGTACAATATTACAGGCATGCTTAATCTATAAAAGAAATAATTCAGCATACTTCTGCCTGTCTAGAAAGCATTTTCAGGTAAACATACATTGTGTAAAAATATTCGTAAGACCATCAGGTGAATGGCCAAATATCCATTAGCCTGGAATGGAGGTAGGAAAAAGCCTGTTTTAAACTCGGAGCACAGAATTATATACAGGTTTAGATTTCTTTGCACTACAGCACAGCGAATTGTCTATTATGTTAATGTATACATTTTCATTCTTGTTGACAATAAACACAGTCTTGTTACAAATTAAGCCACTTCCATATCAGAATTGAGGTTCTGAAGAGGTGAGATTTATCACTGAGTCCTGGTGCGATGCCTAAAATGTAGTTAAATGATCAACCTTTAAGATACTGTGCATAATGTGAAGCAAGTCTATGACTTCCAGTGTTCTTGTGTATTTTACAAAAAAATGAAAAAAAGTGCTATAGTGAATAAATGCACATTTTGGAAATACACATCTTTCTCCTTAACAGTATATGGTGATTATGATCTGGAAAAGAATCTCTCCCTTTATAATTTGATCTACTACTTGCCTATAAACATAGAGCGATTGTAATGTTAACAGAGGTTACATTAGGAGGATGGAAAGGAAGAAATGGATGAGGTAAATAGATGTATCAGTAGTCATCCTAAACACTAAAACCTGAGATAGGCTCTGAGTAATCTGCCCCGAGTCTTCAGAAGAAACCTATCTAATTCTTAAACACAGCCAATGTTTCAGCAGTTTCCTTCCATACTTGCTATAGAGTGTAAGAAAGATGATTTTGCTAAGTAGCAAATCATATTATCAATCTAAAATATTTAAAAGTAACTCAGACGTGCCTAATTCATTGAATTATAAGTAAAGAAAGAAGGTCTGACATATTATTATAGCCAATTTCAATAAAAAATAGTTTCTACTTAGGAAGTTGATTGGTCTACCTGGAAGGACTTAACCCACATACACATGACCTGAAATTCCTAAATTCTGTGCATACAGTAGTAGACTGATTAACATGTTTATTATCTTAAAGTTCTAACTAATTTCAAGTAATTTTTATGTTCTTAATTAAATCACTGTTCGAGATATTTCATCATACTGTTTTTGCTCAATATAACTTGAATAAGTATGGAGTTTAAGATAACTATTTTGGTTAATTTTTTTATATTTTAATTAAAACTCTGCTTCTTATCCATTGAGAAATTATATCTATTTACACACACATTACTATGTAAAAAAAACCCTTTCTCTCTCTAAATATTGTTTTAATCAGTTTATATTGTGATTAAGCTCTGGATGACTTAACTGGTTTTCACTAGAAACATTAAATGAATTTATGACCTGTTACCATGTGTTTTTCCAGAGAATATAAAATCCAGATAATTTGTTAGTTTATGAGTAAAAATACCAGCACATCGTGCTTTGTTTCCAAAAAACCAATGATTTCAAAGAATTTGACAACTGCTTCTCAGTCTGTACAGTCAGAAGGGAATTTATTCCAAAAAATTGCAGTTAGTTTTAGAAGAATACTATCTTTGTATGTGCATGATTGCTATTACATCAAGGCAATAAGTGAATATTTAACATTTTCTTGTAATCCAAAATAGTTCATCTTTTTCAAAAAATTGCTTGAGAATTATTGATTACTTTACTACAATGTGAAGGTGATTAATGAGGGATTTTAAAATATTGTTTTACTGAAATTGAAAGTTCTTAAGCAATATAGTGCTGCTAAACTTATTATAGGCATCCCTAAAAATTCCACTGATACAAGATATCTTAAAGTCAAAAGTTGCATGCTATTATATTCTCTATGTATTTTGGAGATGGACTTGAATGACCTAAATGTAATGCTAATGAAACACTAATAATATAGTAGAAGAAATAGTATGACATGGTTTTGATTATTCAAGTATTTACTCTTTGTCTGATTTTAACAGTTATAACTTGTATTTTCCAGATGCAGAGCCAAGATACTTGATTGTGGTGAGACCAGTTTCCAATAAGAAATTCTGCTCAGGTATTTCAAAACTATTAAACATTTTTTTCCTTAAAAACTCAGGAGGTCTATATTTCAATCAAAGTAACCTACCTTGAATTTGAACAAGTTAGAGTTAAGCGAAATATAAATTTGATAAATAAAAAAATAATAAATATACATATATTATATAATAAAATATATGTACAATTTCAAGACATGAACCAACCTATTCAACTTGTTTTTAAGAAGAAACCAATGTTAGCAAATTCAGCAATATCTTGAAGAATTACATATTGTTCATGTTCATAAAATCAAACCTGTGTTAGCTTCTTGCTTTTTCTTATGATGTAATGAAATAGTGGAAGGAGACTAAAAGAAGAATGATTCTATTGATATATGACATGCATCCAGAAGATTGTTTGCTCTGTTGTTTCACAAATCTGAGTAATAATATTTTCTGCTATTAATTTAGAGATAAATTAGCCCATGTTTTCACTTAGGCTCATAAACAGTGAGAAATAATTGACACAATTATTCACATGTATGATAATGGAAGACATTCAGCTCTGACAAACTGCAGAACAATTCCATATTTCTGCAGAGGTTTCATGTTGCTGTAAGTGCCTGCACTACTGAGTGCTATCTTCCATGGAGCTGCCAATATGCTACTATTCTAATTCTCTATGTTTGCTATTTATGCCAAGAGCAAAAAATACAAAACAAAAAACAAAAAACCAACCCTGGCTTTTGTATAGGAAGATCAATGAAGCTGCACTCAGAGCAACTGGAAAAGATGAAAGAAAGGTGCTTCTTTACCTTAGCTGTTGAAAAGAAGGGAGAAAATCTGGAGATATGACAAGATGGTCAATTATCTGTTTTTTAGGGAAAAAACACATTTGAAAACTCTGTTTACCTGCCAGTTCAATGATGTGATGGAAGGCTACTGCCAATCTTTAATTAGCATGTTGCCTGCATATGGAGCCATAAGAAGATGAGACAAGTTCACTGACATGAATTGTATTTATTGATTTTGAAAGGTCTAACTTTTGCTGTTTACAAAAACAATATAATAAATACAAAATAACTCCAGCAATAAAAACCAAATCCATTTAGTAAACCTATGCAAAAAAAAAAAAAGCTTGTTCAATTTCCTCATAATTTCCAGAAGCCATTCATTGATTAAACTTGCAGCAATTTTGGCAAAGTAGAGTCATGTGGGTCATCAGGAGAATATTGTTCCAAAAGGCAGAGAAAGCTTCTCTCCTGTGTCTGAGAAGCCAGCCTTCTCAGAAACAAACAAACGGTGGGCAGTTACTGTGGGAAAGAGACAGTTCTCCAGCTAGCTATTTGTTATGACATTTAGAGTTTATAGGTCACCTGGAATCCAACTGGTAACCAGTGTACTCATGCTGCAGAGATATTACAATGACCTAGCAAGGCTTGCCAATTATTGCTTCTACCACACGCTTAAGGGTAGCCGCCTGTAGAGTTCATTGCAATAGTTTAACCATCAGATAACTACTGCTTGGGGAGGGTGTTCCATTAGGAATGAGCACAACTGGCAAACAAGCTGTATCTGTGCAGAAGGCTTCCTGATCACAGCTGCAACCCACTCCTCAAGCAAAAGCTGATAGTCAAAAAGTACCCCTAAATTACACCCATGTATTTGGTATATAAACATATAGTATTTAAGTAAATCACAGCATTTGTTGTCTCATAAAAGAAAATAGGAAGGAAGAAGGAAGAAGGAATATTATATATGAAACTACTTTTTTGAATGTGCAAGGCGGAAGTCTCTCTTTGTTTTTGAATCTAAACAAGATTCAGAAAAAGAAAAAAAGTAGAGAATTCTAACCTGAAAATGAAGGATATGTACCATAGAGGGAATCATAAAGATTCCAAAATAATATTCTGCTTAAAAAAATCTAGTCAGGCAAATTAAAACAAACAAACAAATACAGCAAAAGGTGACTTGGTGGGAAAAAAAGAGACTATCCTGATTTCCATGAAGATAATAGGCTTCTATATTAAGCTAAAACATTTTAGCTTAATAAACAAAATGATTAGGCAACTGGAGGCTAAAACATCAGAAGAATGATTGCAGGAATTGAGTATATTTAGTTTAATGAAAAGAAGGACTCAAAGTGACATGAGAGCAATCTTCTGATATCTAAGAGCCTTGGTGACGCAGTGGTTAGAATGCAGTATTGTAGGTTCATCCTGCTGACTGCCAGCAGTTCGATTCTCACCAGCTGAAGGTTGACTGAGCCTTCCATCCTTCCAAGGTCAATAAAATGAGGAGCCATATTGTTGGGGGCAATAGGCTGACTCTGTAAACCACTTAGAGAGGGGTGTAGTGGTATATAAGTCTAAGTGCTATTTCTATTGCTAAGAAGAGGAGATCAATCTATTGTCCAAAGCACCTGAAGGCAGAACAAGAAGCAATGGATGGAAATGAATCAAGAAGAGAACCAATCTAGAACCAAGGAAAAAATTTCCTGATAGTTAGAACAATCAATCAATCAGTGGAATGGCTCCCTCCAAAAGTTGGGGTGCTTCAGCACTGAAAGTTTTTAAAAAGATATTGGACTACCATTTGTCCAAAATGGTGTATGGTACCCTGCCTGAGCAAGGGGGTTGGACTGCAAGAGCTCCAAGGTCCAACTCTCTTATTCTGTTCTGTTATTTAAAACAGATGCTTTGTAAATTGTGCTAGCTAAAATCAAGCACTGCTCTACAAACTGTTAAAGCAACTACATCCTTTCCAAGATTCACTGATTACTTTGCAAGCTGTCCCTAGTTGTCTAAGTATGTCTGTACAGACATTTCTTCCTGAACCATGAGGACTAAAATAAGAAGTTCCCTTTCAGTTTTACTGATGCTAATCTCTGGCCAGCATTGCCAGGTATTGGCCTCTTTCCATGAGCAACTCACGTGACTCTAATTAATGGATAATATTTATTTAGTAGACACAAAAAGTAGCACAAACATTTCACTTTTTTTCAGTTTGTCTGAGTTTTGTGGAACAAAATAGAAGCTATAAACCAATATGTCTGGGAAATGCTTCATGGAAATAAAACCACTACATATCTTTAAACAATAACAAAAACTCAGTATGCCTTTTAGCACTACTTACAACTCAACCCCAAATCTTATGAAATTTATACATATTCTACTCAAAACCCAAGGAATAGAAATCTCATTTTGTTTTTGTTAAAAGACGGACAAATTTGTTAGAGAGTGATCATAAAACTAAGCAGTATTCAAGGAATTAAGAAAGGGACATTTGGAGATGAGAATTTAGCATATGTGTATGCATACACAAAGACATATTTAAAGGTATGAAGGAAGAATGAGTTAGAAATTAAAGTGGAGAAATCTGATACAGAGGGAGAAATGTTAAAACTCAATTGAATGTGCAATTCGCTATATGCCTATGATTATGTATTTTTAGAGTTTCATTAGTTTCTTCAATTCTCCTAAAATATAAACAATTGCAACCCCAAATTAGCTACTAGCAACTTAAAACTTCCATCATGAAATTACTTATGAAAAAGTATAAATTATTTTTTCTCCTAAAATTTGGCACTAATATACTCAAATTGGTACTTACGTGACAGCCTAGTTCACCTAATACAGATTCAGCATCCCTGAGTACTGCCTTAATTATCCACTCATAAAAAGAGTATCAGCAGCAAAGTGGCAGCAAAGATACTACAATCAAAGTCTTGTTTGCTTTTATGTTCACTGTGTGTAGGACACACGTGAAAATGAAAAATAGGCAGAGTTTCAAGTGTACTATCACTGCCACCATCTTGGGTTTTTTAATTATATTCTCTGGACACCCTTGACTCAGAGTGGGGTTCTTTCTCAATAGAAAAAAAATCTATCGAGTATACAACTATTGATATACAAGACTCATATCAATAGTAAACCAACTTGCTTGTGAAAGTGCTAAGTATGGACAATTTTTTTTGCTTGGAAGAATGCTTCTGCTCAGAGATTTTGAAATGACAGACTTATTCCCACCACACTTTCCCTTGTGAATAGAAACATGTAAATAATGTGCTCTCTTGTGACTGTGGTACTTGCTTACAAGAGATGGGTTTCCTTATCTGATGAATTTGTGCAGACAATCTAAGTGGTTTTTTTAAAAGAATTGGAACTTTGTTCAACTTTTTCATGAATAACTTGGATTAAGAATAAAGATTGGGCATGTGAATTGGGTAGCTGCAACATTCAAGTTCCAATTTATATTCTTCAAGTTTTAGTGGATAATTGCATGTCATTTCCTAAGGAAGTCATGTTATAACATGATTGAAGGATCTTTTTCCATGAGAACAGTATGATTGTTGGCAATGGGGAGTAATATATACACAAAAGTTTCTGCTGTAAACTATTGTATGTACCTGTGGATGATCTTTGGATGATTGTAGATAGAAAGTGACTTGGCAGAGGAAGCATTACATTACTTCTTATATGTTGGAATATAGATGGAAAATTATTGCCCAAAAAGTTCTGTAGGGAAATAATTGTGAGTAATTGAATATGTAGAATAAACAATGTTATCTGGTTTTGATTATCATGAGGTTCTACTATAGACATTTTGGGAATAAATATCTGCCCTTGACTGTATCATTTTAAAATATAAGAGATGTAATCTTCCCAATCACTTAAAATTAAGTGATTCTAAATTGAAAATAGCTCATCAACTATGGATTTAAACTTTTCTCATCAATATTTAATTTTAGCAATAATGAAAAGAGGGATGTTATATTCTAATGGTTCATAGTCTACAGACCATATAAATTTTATATGATAAATTTAGAAGCCTTCTGATATACAATATGATAGATAGATAGATAGATAGATAGATAGATAGATAGATAGATAGATAGATAGATAGATAGACAGACAGACAGACAGAGAAAGAGATAGAAGGGAGGGGAGAGAAAGATATAACAAAATGCAATTTTATATTTCTTACATAGGTAAAACAAAGACACCCAAACCCCTTCAGCTGGTAATAGGTACTTTAACTCCAACATCTGTCTTCCTCTCCTGGGGCATATTAGTCAATCCAAAGCATGATTGGACCACGATGAACAACTGTCCAAATGACAGGTAATGGAATGGGTTGATACTATAATGTTTTTCCATAATGCATCTGTTTTATATGCAAAAATGTGTTATATTCATGAAATTACTGTTGGAATAGACTTGCACTATAATAATTAAATTCTTGCTATGTTTCTTTTTGTGAAGGTAAAAGTGTCTTTACTCTAAGCAACTTTTCTCAGAGTAAAAGATAGTGTGTTTTGGTTAAGATTTCAGACTATGCAGAACCAGCTTCTTGTCCATCCTCAACCACAAAAACTCACTAGGTAACTTTGGACAGTCCCATCCTCTCAGCCCAACCTCTCAACTTATTGAAAGGGAATAGAATAATAAGAGACTCATGTAAACCACTGTAACCATACACTATTTATATAATGAAACAACTAAGTGAAACTATTTCACTATTATCCTTTTCTGAATTACATTTATTATGTTTTACCTAGACCTCATATATCCACAGTATCATTCAGTCCTATAATCCCTGGTGCTCTGTACAATTAGAAATGATATTATTCAGCTATCTTTGATGTAAATTGAATATACTTGTAAACAGAGTCATATCTTTATTACCATTATGGATGGATGAATGGATGAAGAATGTCAACAGAAGTGAAATGAATTAAAAAGATAATAATGATAAAAAGTGATTATAAGTGAAGTAAAACAAATCACAAACAGTAAAACCAAAGTAGTTGGGAAATTTTTTTTTAGAGAATCTAATCTGTTCTAATGAATATGATATATGTATTTAAAATAAAAGAATAATGTAATGGCACTGTAATTTGAGAGTCATTCACATAACAAACCCACAACTGACAATAAATCAGCCAAGAATTTATCATGTGGCCTCTATAAAAGTTGCTAATTAGGCTGCTGTTTGTATGCTGATGTAGATAAAGTGCTATTTCAACATATTTGTTCACATACATTCTATGATGCTTTGCAAATGAATTTTATCATGTTGGGATTAAATAAAAACTACTAGATTAAATCGGAATTGTCATAATTTATGAAGAAATGTTTCTATGCCACAGGCAAGTTCCTAAAATTATGTTTGCAAAAAAGAAGTTCTGTTATTAAATTACACAGATTATACATTATACAGTCATAACACTGGCAGATGAGAAAAGTAGATTGTGTTTTAATGGAACATTTAAAAGCTTCTGTATTTGCAAAGATATTTACAATAAAATGAAAAAATACCTCTTATTTATACAGAGTAAGGTTCTCCAACTAGCCCTATGGAAGATTCCCTGTGGCCTGCCAGCTTCTCCCATGTACTGTACTTTAATCCTTTCCAAACAACACAGAGAAAGAAAGTAGGGATGTATTCATCACTGTTTAGAAAGGAAGGTAGGATCTCTTGATTTGTTCAGTGGGACGGGTTATGAGCCAGCTGGAGGACTGCTGGACAAGGAAGGAGAAGCATCTTCCCTTTTAAAATTTTTGCCAGCTTTAAGTCAGCTGGAAGGTTGCTCTTTTGTCACTGGGGATCATTGGATCCCTTGGATTGTTCCCTCCCTGTGCTATCCAAACTAGCTCAGGGCTGACCAGATGAGGAAGAAGAAGCCAGCTGAAGGATTACTTCCTTTGCCTGTGAGGGTGGTGAGAAGTGAGCTGTACTACATTCTCTTTTTCCATAAATTTGTGAAATTTGTGTAAATTAAAGTTATAAAGATCATGTGACATTTTTAAAATATCATTTGTCCAAACAAGCACACTGTTGCTTCTTTGTAGCTGTTCCATATCTTTTTTTGCTGTTGTTGTGAACCATATCATATTGAGCAAAATAATACCATTCCATTAAATTTTTGTTCATTTATTTATAAAATAATTTTTCAAGACCCTTGAATATTTGCAAAATGTCCAATGTTCCCCTCAGACTGAAAAGTTTGGAGACCTCTGCCATATAACATAATGTAGGTCAGCTAATTTAGCATGGTTGCTAAGAAAACTGTATGAGGGAACACTGGTCAGATTTGCCTGAGTCTGGATAGTTGGATTGAACTGATTCAAGACACTTAACTCAATTTAGACAATGAAATTACTCTGTCTAATATCTCAAATATCACCATCTCAGGTTCCTTTTTCCACAATTCCCTCAATTCAAGAATGTGTGAAGTAAAAAAAACCCACAAAGTTTGTGACAATACACAATAAATTTGTATTTTGCTTTTAGCAAAGATGCACACAATGTCCTTCATTTTCTTCAGTCTGAAAGTTTACATTGTTATTGACTAGATTTTATACAGTGCGCTACAGAGAAAAGGACAAGAATAAGAAATGGATCCTACAGCTTTGTCCAACTACAGAAACAGTGGTGGATAATTTGAAACCCAACACTATTTATGAATTTGGAGTGAAAGACAATACAGATGATGGGATCTGGAGTAAGAATTTCGTTCACAAAGTGATTATATCTGGTAAGTAATTTATAAGGGTTTCAACCTTTCACTGCTTAAAAAGCAGTTTAGTTATTGATTGGATTTTAACCTGTCTGATTCCAAAGAGAATGTACATGGATAATAATTTTTAAAAGAACATGCAATTTAAAAGAGGAACATAACTACATAACATAACCAGACATGAATAACACCCAAACTAGATAAACTATCTTCATAGTATCTGCCTGTCCAATTCTATATGGCATAGTTTGCATGCTCTAGATTCTTTAAATTAAGCAACCTGAACTGTGCCTTCTAGATTGAAATTACCCCATGATTTGTATGGCCATGACCCTGCTATTGTAAGAAAGGCTATGAAAAGCTTGCCCTTTTCCCAGGCCTTTAGCAAAACTGAATGAAGTACCCTTGGATTTTATTTTATTTTTTGTCCTTCCCATTCCAGTCTGGTTTGTGTCACCTAAGAGTATCCATTCTGTTCTAATTTTCTCCTATCACAGGATGTATTCATAAACCCAACTACTTCTGATCTTTCCTAGAGTACTTCAAAAAATAAACTGTCTAATGAAACAAACAAAAAAAGAACTAAAGTTAAATTAGTGGAATATATAAAGGATTCATTAGTATAACTAAGCCTATTATGTCAATTATGACCATTCCTGTTTATGTAAAATCTTGTTACATCCCATGTTTTAGGTTAATATAAAATGCTATTGAAAGGACTGACTTTGAAAATTGTTAAATGTTTTAGCTTAGATGAACCCAGGCAATTGATTTTGAAAGCATGAAAGAGAAACATTGTCATGCCCCAGTTGGAATCTGATTCTGAAGGAGAGGTGGAACAGCTTACAGGGAGTGTGGCTCCGGTGGCTGTGGAGGAAACTGGGGAATGACACAGGCCAGCTAGGCATTCAGAGGAAGACCCAGGCCCAGCCCCTCTTCATCCTAGGGCACGCAGGGAGGACTGGATAAGGGAGCAATGTGATTTACAGGGGAGGAAAGGACCCTGATCTCCTTCATGGGCTGTAGCTGGGAACACTGTTTAAAAGGGCAAACTGCACATGGCAAAGTTGCTGGAAGCAAGCATGCCTTATGTTTGTCAAGGCTTATCTGGGTTTTGGCATCCTCCCAACTGTATGTGTCTCGTTATCTTTTGGAAGTCTGCAAGTTATTATTCTGGTCTGTCATGTTAATTACTTCAGCATGGTTTGTGTTGGTTTTTTTATTTCTACTTTATCTGTATTTTGGGTTTGGACTGCATTTCTTCCCTCTGTAGACTGTTTTTGGAAGAGTTTGATCTCCCGTTGAGGATAATTGGACATTGGCGGCCAAGTTGGAGGCATTAAAGGGAATTTATCTACTTTGGTGACTTTGTAATTTTTGTGCCATGCCCCAGGTCATCACAAACATCTTCTTGCTTCTTCAGTTAATAATAGCCTGTTTCTGAGCATGTATATGTATAGGTGCTAGTTATGGCCTATAAAACTGAATAAAACCTAGGCCAAGTCCACTTGAAGTTTTGGATTTTTTTTTTCATATTGCCCTATTCAAAGTACAATCTTTCTGAAGTACTTTCCATTTTGCTAATACCAGGAATATTTTCAGCAAGATAAAGAAGATCTTACAATGACTGAGCCTAGATTTTGAAATATACCGCTATAGGAGTATAGGACAGCCATTTTTATGTCAATAGCTTTTGGCAACTTATTTGATATGCAATTGACATTAGTTTTATTTTATATATATATATATATATATATATATTTGTGTGTTTTTTATTATTTTAATTTTTGAACTAGTTACTATTTGTATATGCTTATAGCATTATCTTTAGGGGAATGATGGGCTATAAATGTAATAAAGAAGTAAAATATGAGTACTTACTCATAAATATCATCCAGCTTAGTTAGATCACTGACTTAACTGCAGAAATCAGCTGGAGTTTAAACAGTTTGAGGAACAGAGCAATACATTCATTAAAATTATCATTAACTGTGGTATAAACAATGGGAAGTAGTAAGAAATCACATTACATTTGGAATTAAAAAAATAGTGTATTTATGTATCTTTATATGACTAGAGGAGGGTTTTTACATATATATCTATATATCTATATTTATTTATGTCAGGTAAAAACAAAGAAAATGGAGAACTCCAGAACAACTACAAAATCCATAGACAGGTATGAAATGACAATTATTTTTATCTTTATAAATTAGCATATTTTCTATGCAGGTAAATTGCCTGCCCATTATGGTTGAAATTTGGGATAAATGTTAAATGACTTCAAATGGTTGTTAAATGAACAGTCACACCTCAAGTTCTACCTGTACTATATATCACATATGACTCTAAATTTTTTTCCTTTTCCATGTAAAATGTAATAATATATGAAAATACTGCTATTAAAACCTGTCTAATAATGCTACTCACTTCTCACATCAGAACTATATTTCATCCAGTTATAGATCAAGGTGAAGATAAGTTGGATTTAATTGTCTTGTTTGTATTTTATATTAAATATATTTTTGATTATGTGTATTATTCAAGAAGATTTTTAGAGCTGAAATACTTGGATTATAATTATTTTATCTTTGATATGTATAAGATGATATTTTCCTTTGCTTATTTTTATTTTTCTGAGCGCAGTCTAGTATCTATATAATTCACCAAAAATTACTTTTTTAACATACTTATTTTAATTTTTATCATAAATAAGCAACACCATTACAATATTTTAAGATGCAGACATGCAGGCAGTATTAAACTATAAGCATCTCCATTTCTGCTCATACACTTCAACATTTACTTTTAGATTACTATGTATTTAATGCTGTTGGAGATCGTTGAAAGTACCACCTTGGAAATGTCTGACTCTTCAGTGTCCTGATTCAGGCTGAACAAACACACCAACTTTATTTACAAGTGGTTCATTGTCCAATAGTATTCCAGTTAATTACAAAAGCAACTACACTGTTGGCTATGCAGACACATATATGCCTTGGAAGATATAGTTTAGAATTTAGTCCCAAATCAAAACATAGGAGAGCACAGTTTCAGGGAAGTGGAGCATAGCCATGACAGAGAAGGAAATGTGATCCACAACAGTCCAGGAATCAAGTCCCAGAAAAATTAGTCAGCTGACCCACGTCAAGGAGCCACGAGTTAAGGAACAAAACAGGAAGATTGAACACAGGAACACAGATCTGAGATTGGTGAGTTGTTTCCAACATATGATTTCCAGATAAGTGGAAGTTGTTTTTAAACAGGCCAAATAGATATATGGCTCAGTTATGGTCATTGGCATCTTCTCAAGGAGGCAAGATCACATCATAAACAATATGAATCTATGTAAAATCTCCTAAATTGGAAATTCCAACTGTTCCATTTATTTAGATACCTTGATGACTACTATATGGATTTTCTTCTCTCCCCTCCCCACCCCCACTCCTTCTTTCCTTCTTTCTTTTTTCTAGAGTTTAAGGAAATTTCCTGCCCTGCATCATCATCATCTTGTTGACATCAGAAGCTGAATCTGATTGTAGTATAATGATTTGTTTAATTTATAACATCTTAGTTAATTTACAGGATAGTTAATTTACATCTACTACATTCTATTTAATTTGTTTATTAAGAAAATGTATATGGCCAGTCAACCCACTCACAGAAAAGATCAGGACAGAAACCAATAAACCCCCACATCATTCTAGTATGTTAGAGAATATATTAGCAATCCACCTTGAATTTAAACATAGTATATTTCTACAGTCCAGCACCTCATATTTAAATTAGAACACTGATCTCTGAAAATTGCATCTATGTTTAAATCTTTCTTCCCCTCTATGCCAAATATTTCATATGTAAGATCATGAACCCTTTTTAGTTGTTATCAGTGGGTGTTGCTTCTACTTGCAGAGAAAGGAGCAAGAATAAGCACGCTATTTTCATTCTCCCTTAGCTGTCATTCAGTTTTTGTTCCATGAAAAATATGTGTTGATAGATGACTTTTTGTAATTGTGAAAACTCTTTATGCAGTTAAGAATTCTTGAATAGCATAGATTCAGGGGTGGGATTCTACCAGTTCTGTCCAGTTCTGTAGAACCAGTAGCTCTGAAGAGCAGCAGACCTAGAACCGGTTCTATGTCTGCTGCTGTTTTGGCCCACCCACCTGCCCGGGCTCTTACCTGACCATTATTTCCTGCTTTTTCACCCTCAGCTGCTGTGCAAGGCACAGCTGCAGTTGAAAAAGCAGGAAAAAAAAGTGCTTTTTCAAACGCTGCTTCTTTGCATGCAGCGCTGCTCAGTGGTCCAGGAAGCAAGCTGATGACGATTTACAGGCACGCATGCAGCATGCAGGAAAGCACATCATAAATCACCTAACCGGTAGTTAACCCTGTCGGATCCCACCCCTGCATAGATTCAAGCAGTATTTTTCTACAATAATGTTCTATGAAAAAAAAAGGCAAGGCTATTGAAGATGGGATTCTTGGGACCAGAGAATGAGAGAATTAGTTCATTTGTTCTTTTTCTCCTTTTATTGCATAGAGTAGCAATATTACAAGAATAACTAAAGATAGATTATAAATATTCTGTATTGCAACATTATTGCAAATGTAAAAAGACTTAATACAGGTAGTCCTCAACTTATGATCGCAAATGAGCCCCAAATTTATGTTGTTAAGGGAGACATTTGTTAAATAAATTTTGCCCCACTTTACCTTTCTTGCCCCAGTTGTTAAGTGAATCATTGCAGTTAGTGGCATAATTGTTAAGTAAATCTGGCTTCCCCATTGGCTTTGCTTGTCAGGATATTGCAACAATCATAAATATGAACCAGTTGCCAAGTGTCTGAATTTTGATCACATGACCTCAAGGCACTACAACAGTCATAAGTGTGGAAATAGGTCATAGGTCACTTTTTTCAATGCTGTTGTAACTTTGAACAGTCACCAAATGAACTGCTGTAACTTGAAGATTACCTGTAAACACAGTTAACATGAAATATTTTATTAGACCAATTTTCTTCAAAAGGTATATTATTGTCATGCCCTTGTTAGAGTCGGACTCTGAGGGAGAGGAGGAACAGCCGACAGGGAGTGGAGGTGTGGCTCCGGAGGTTGGGGAAGGGCAGAGGCCAGCTGGGCAGTCAGGGGAAGAACCAGGCCCATCCCCTCTTCATCCTAGGACATGTAAGGAGGAATGGAGAAGGAAACAACTTGGCTTACGAGAGAGGAAGCGGACATGATCCCCTCATTGGTTGCAGCTGGGGAGAATAGTATATAAGAGGAATGGTTAAAACACATCGTTGCCAGAAGCAAAGCATGTTTTATTTTGATCTGAAGTTATCTTGGTTGGTGTCCTTCCAACAGACTGTGCCTTATTATCTCCTTGAAGCTGGTAATTACTTATCCTGGTCCGTTATGGAATTTCTTTCATTGTAGTTTGTTTTGGTTTTTTATTTCACCTCTATCTGCTCATTAAGTTCAGACTGCATTGCTTTCTTTTGAAGACTATTTTTGCATAAGTTTTGTCTCCAACTGAGAATTATTGAACAGTGGGGCCAAATTGGAGGCATTAAAGGACATTTTTTTACGTTTTGAATTTTGTTATGTTTGTGTTACACTCCTGGTCATCACAATTATAATATTACATATATAATATTATGGAAAAGGTACAAAAAATATCCCCACCCCCAACTAGCTTAATATAAAAGAGAAGTTAAGTTTAAAAATTAAGTAGGCAAAGCTTTAGAACTTGTCAGAACGCTGAGACTTTGGAATGGTCCAAAGGAGCTTTGCAATTTTGCTTTCTTTGTATCATTAGGAATTGTACAGTTGCATACCAGAAATCAAAAACAGAACTTGGAATATATATTTCCTTTTACTTTCTTTCTCTTTCACCATCCTGTTATAGTGGATTATTTTGTAAAATGTCCTTTGTAAAATGTCCAGATTTGTTCTATGAAAATAAAATAGTTTATTTTGTTTTATTTAACAATGTTTTGTATAACAAGAGATGTCCTCAGGAGCTAAAGAGATCAAGATGATATCTGTGTCTGCAGAATTGAAGTCTATTCCTTTTTTTACATATTTTGCACCATCTTGACTTTTTAAATTACTTTTACATACACTCTTGCCTAACATATTCTTTATGTGTGATAACTGGCTATATTTTATTTGAGAATTGATCATCAATCGAGTATGATTTATTTATACTATATAATGTTGACAGACTTTGCTACAAACATGTACTGTAGTTTGGGAATCAGTGAATATTTTACCATGTCATCTAAGAAAAGTTCAGTATTTTCAAACATGCTTTAAATTGTCTTAACTAGCTGCTTTGGCAAGAAATGTGATTAAACTAAACTAAACTAAACTAAAAAAAGCAATTTGCAGCTGACTTATGCAAAGAAATTGTTTTGTGTAAATTACATATGACTACATTTTTCAAACAAGGAGGAGCTGGAATTTCTCCCAACTGTTATATTTAAAGAGAATTTTAGAAAAAAGAAGAACTATTCAAATTTCTAATATATCTTGCCATTGTCAAATAATTTTAAAATTTAGTGATACTGACTTATATTTTCAGGTGTCATATTAAATTTTTTTTCCAGCAAAATTTCTGTGTTCCAGTTTTAACTAACAGCATTGTCCACTATTTAATCTGGAAAATATATTGAGATCATAATTTCTTGAAAAATATTCAGAAGAAAATTTGTTTTTGTTTTATTTTGAAACAGAGGAAAGAGGGGGTGTTATTGTAATATTATGTTTACCTTTCCCTAAAATTCAGAAAATGCTTTCATGGAAGTCTTTTTATCTTCTTTTTATCTATGCAATAAAAAGGCTGTAATGAGGTTGTAATGAGAAATTTTGGCTGGTTCAGAATTACACAATGAAATTTAAACTGGGCTGGGCATTCGCATCTAATGTCCCCAGTCCTGGCTCATCACCTTCTATATTATATTCTACTATAGTAGTTTTATACAGTATCAATGTGCTACATGTTTTGGTTAAAAGCACATCAATTTTATATTTGACACATTTGAGTCAAATAGAATTGACTGCATCTGGTTTCTTTGTTGTCAATTTTGTCAATAAATTTAACTGTAGATCTATTGTTACCTTCACTTAATGATCTAATTTATACATAATGTCTTATCAAAGATTTTTTTTTGTTTGAGGCTTAGAATATTTTGACCATTCATTTCAAGCATTATACAATAATTTATTTTTGTTAGCAAATGACACCTGAAAATTGCAGTTTGCTTATATATTCTGGCTTTGTTAATATATTCCCTGTCTTAATCCAGAATTTGGCTTGTTCCCAGATTATTACTTACTCATTTCAGTATTCCATTAATGTTTGCTAAGTATTTGCAGATCAAGTGGGGGGGGGGGGGACAAGTACTTCTCGATTTATAAATCGAGTTAGCAATCATTGGAAGTTACAACAGACCCTCCATTCCACAAAGCTATTTATAACTCGATTTCAAGTTACAGCTGCCACAGCACTCCCATGATCATTTGTTCTTGTGACCAACCGCAGAGACACTGCAGCGCAATCCCTCACCTATGTCTCCCTCACATCCTGCACCATTGGGTCCCTAAAGGCACTTTGCCGCTTTTGCCATCCTGCTGGATTCCACATAGTCTTCCTCACCTCAGTCACCAATTGCTCAATTAACTTCTCTGGACCTCAGGGAGGGAAGGAGAACAGGTTTCTTCAATGGCCACAAGGCACAATCTCACAAGCAGCCATCTTTTTCTAAGCACTCCTGGATGCTGCTTCAACTCTATGACTAATGTAACCTAGCCCTTTGTAGTTGCTGTCAGATTTCGCTTGTGGGATTTTGCCATGTGGTCCATCAAAGGAGCATCCTGTCCTCCTTTACTACCCTAACTTCCTGAGTTCTGTAGATCTTCAGAAGATAAGTGACTGATTATGAAGGGAGTAGTTGGAGACCCAAGCGGCTGTGGGGACCCAAGAATGCAGTGGTGGGATTCAAAAAAAATTATTACCGGTTCTATGGGCTGGCTTGGTGAGCGTGGCAGGTGAAGGATACTGCAAAATCTCCAGTCAGAGGTGGGATTTGCTGGTTCTCAACCTGCTGAATACCACCTCTGCAAGGATGGGAAGCAAAGCATGGGATATCAAGGGATGGAAGAGACCTTGGGAGACTTGAGGCAGGTGAACAGGGGGTGGTTTCCCCCACTTCTGAGGCACTCTGTGCTCCACTTAACAACCTGCTCATTCATTTAATTATTAGAGAGAGCAGGGATAGAGGAATTGTTAAGTGAAACAGTTCACCTGTAATCAATCAGTTTGATCAAGACATTATTTTATTTCAATGTAAGATTAATTCAGGTTTAAACTTGACTTATTCAATAAATAGCTAAAATGACCTTGCCTTAGTGTATGCGAATGATATATATTGTAAGAATTTTATGAGTACTTATTAATAGGATTGCAATGACAATTTTTTAAAAATGGAATTAATTATTTTTATCTTCCATTGCATTTTTCTCAAAATATATTGATTGTTCCTGACATATCATGAAAAAATGAATTTTAAAGGCCGTATCTTTACTTGTGATGGATTTTCATTTTGGGTATAAAATATCATGGCATAACTAATTAAGTTAGTCTTTAAAGGATTTTTTTGTTCATACAGTATCAGTTTAATGTAGGCCAAAAAATTAAAATTTGGATGTTGAAGGAATGGATCCAAAAAAAGCTTTCATTCATTAGATTAAAACATGAGGTGATGTTTAACTATGGAGTACACACTGAAAGTTTTGTTTCTGGGGCCTCTTTAAAGGGTGGTAAAAATTCCAAACTGCACATATGGGGGTAGAGCTCCATCCACAATATAAATTAGCCATTCAAGAAGAGAAAGTAGTTTTTCTCAACCTTTACAATGTTATGATGTGTGGATTTCAATTCCCAGAATTCCCCAGACAACACTTCTTTGGATTATCAGCACTGGACAAAAACAATGAAAAATATTTTTTCTACTATAGGATTGTGAGGGGAATATATGTGGGTTTCTTTTCAAATGAACATTCTGACTAAGCCTCTAAGAATCTTTAAAAGTTTGGAAACAGTTTTAGTGCTTAAATTACAATATTGTTCCACCATTTTAATTCTCTGGTTCATTCAGCCACTGGAATGGATATTCATGACATGCTTAAAATACTTCATAAATCATTTACTATGAAATAAACAAAACATTTTTAATTCAATTGTGATCTGATGTACTTGCTGTGCATATGAAAGTTATAGGCACCATTGAGAAAAATAAATTTTAGAAGGAAAGAACAATATTTGTGTCTTTAAATATATATACAGGTATTTCATGTATCTATTTTTTTTTACTTTTCTTCAGTTTATACCAGATTCAAAAACTTTTGTTCCAGTTAAAGTAATCAAACAAGGTAATGTAGTATTTTGTGTGCTTATATTTATAGAACAGAAAGAATGTGCATGAAAAAAGATGTGTTGCTTATATGCAATTGGAGAAAAAATACATCTGCTTAACTTAAGTACGCTGGAAATATTCTAAAATATCAACTCTTTCAGCAAATTCAATTGTCTCAGACAATTCCCCTCAGTGAGAGAAATCTTGCATTAGTCAGGTTATATAGCAGAGCTTGTCATCCTTGCAGAAAATTAAACAAAACCTGGATTGAGTTTACCCCACAACACATACAATGGTTTGGCAGCAAAGCAGAATCCCTCCTTATGTAGCCTTGTGGACAGGAATGAATCAAGGAAGGTTATGCAGAATAACTATCACAAGCTTTTTGCAAATAAAACTTTACTGATATCAATATATTTACTTTGATCATTCACAAGGTGCTGTTCTCTGTATCAAGTAGGTTATTAAAAACATACGAGTATCATTTTATAAGTTCTGATTTAGTATGTTTCTTTCCCAACCAAATACACACACCCTACACTATCTTCTACTTAGCAAAATTGGTATACAGCTTTTGAAAGGTTTGGAAGGTAGTAAATGGTGATATCTACTATAATTTTGCATATGGTCATTATATCAGGAATTCAGAGATCTGATGTTAATCAATAATTAGTGCACTCTTGTATCTGCCAAATAAAATAAAAAGAAAAGAAAAAGATGATTTTTAAATAAAATCATCACCTTGAATTTTTAGTATCCTATCTGGAGTTTCCAAAGTTTCTTTGGTAGTTTTTCACCTTCAAATCCACATTTTCATTATATAATGTTACATAATACTAAATATTGTGTTTCATAAATAACAAAAATATGTATAATTTAATAAAAATGCAGTTTATAAGAACCATTCAGAATCTTTCGTATCAACCAGATATGAAAGATTCTGAATGTCAGATTTATTATATCAAAACATGTCAGATTTATTATATCAAAACAATTTCTAACAGTTTCATTCTTATTACTTCCACAGTTCTTCAAAATATTACACATCGGACACAGTCTGAAATTCTACATAAAGGAAATTCTCCTTTATCAGGACCAATATTAGGTAATTAAGATGGTCATTATTTTTTATAAACATTCTGTGACTTACTTTCACAACTTATTTGTGGGAGGCTCTGAGTCTAAATGGATATAATAGCTAAACCAATTCTTATTAGCTTGTAGTGCATTTGGAGTACAAGCTAATGGACTTTTTATGATAAAGAAATTTAAAGTACACAGTTAAACTTTTCAGTCTTTGGTAGTGCCAACTTTGTTGGTAACATAATGCTTTATTTTGTTAGCATTATCACTTGAACAATATCAACATTTTGTCTTGGTATTCTACTATACATATTCAGAAAAGAAGTAAAAGGGTTTTAAAAAGCTGGTGTATTGTAATTATATAACATCTCTCTGGGATGGTAAAGGATGCCTATTACTGGCAATTATTGAAAAATAAACACATAATTTTCTATACTTATAAGATGAAGCTATAATCCTTTTTCTACCTCTACTCTGCCAACTGATTCTTTCTACTACTGATTTTATTCTCTACATAACTGGAATCTTAGAAATGCTTCTAACCGATTAACTGATTCATTTATCTGTATGTGTAGTGCACCTTATTGTTCCTGATTTCAATGCAACAAAACAGAAACCTCCATCTTCCTCAGGGTTGGATATATTTGAAAAACCAAAACAAAGTGTAGGTAAGTAGAAAACCTTGGGTGAATAGAATTTTTCTCTCATTCACATAGGAGTGTCATATGTTTAACCATGGCCATGATGTGAAATAGCAGACAAGCTGTTGGATGTATACTCATGTCATGCCCCTGGTGGAGACTGACTCTGAGGGAGAGGAGGAACAGCCAACAGGGAGTGGAAATGTGGATACGGAAATTGTGGAGGAGGCTGGGGAACGGCAGAGGCTGACTGGCCAGTCAGAGAAGGACCCAGGCCATCCCCTCTCCATCCTAGGGCATGCAGGGAGGAGAGGATAATGGAGAGACGTGGTCTACTGGGGAGGAGATGGCCTTGATCCTTTCAATAGGCTGCAGATGTGATAACTGGATAAAAGGATGGACGTGCATACGGGCAAGTGCTAGAAACAAAGCGTGGAAATATCTCTAGTTTATTGTTCTTCTGAGTTTGGCATCCTTCCCAGTGTGTGTTCTGATATCTGTGGATGTCTTCAAGCCCTTATCTTGCCTCGTTTGTGTTGTTTTTTACTCTTTATAATTTAAATGGCATTTCCTCCTTCTTGTGTGGGAGTTTTTTGTCTCCAGTCAAGGATATTTTGAGCCTGGAAGCAAAGTGAAGGGGAAAAAAAGGGCTTCCCCTGTTTTTGTGACTGCTTATTTTGTATCCCATCCTGGGTCATCACAACTCATCTACCAAAAGGCCACCTTTTTTTTACTTACTTACTTATTTACCTGTTTAACTAGTCACAATTTATGCTGAACTAAGGCAGAAGACAGAACTGTGCCCATCACTTTCTTCCACCCCTAGGAAGGAGGTATGGCAAACCACTTCTGAAAAACTTGGCAAAAATATTGCTGGAACTTGTGCAGGCAGTCGTTGAGATATTGGCTGGAAGGAAAAAAGGATAAAGATAAAAATCTAACTATATATAGCCTTGTTTCATTACTCTTTATTTAGAATGATATTATGACAATAAGTGAGAAGACTAAATTCTGCTATAATTCCAGAATCAATTGACCTACAGTCAGTACAAATTGTTATTTAATGAGGACTTTAAAAGTGAGGCTTTGTAGATAAAGTCCAACTGAGTGCAGTTTATAGTTGTTTCTCATGTTCCAAGTTATTTGCGACTAGTGACTTTTTCCATTTAAGAATCCTATGAACTGAATGTTTCTAATTATTACCTGTAAAAGTTCCAAAGTCTATTTGCTCAATTTTTGTTTGTGATAAATATGCTAAAATTAATTGCTTAAGTCATGATGTGCTTCAGAAGCTAATTCAATTGTATCCCTATCATTATATTTAGGGATCAGTGTAGACTTTAAAAAAATACCTAACAAGAATGGAAATGTACAGAAAATTTTGATATAGTTTTGTGTAACAGTTTATTTGGCATAATGTTTCTCTCAAATTACTATAATTTGTTTAGATATATTATTTATTTGCTGTTTAGTTCAATTACTATGGATATTGTTATCCTGATAGATTCAGCAATATGTAGCATAATAAATAAACAATTTCAACCAGACCATAGATGGTAGTAGATGGTAGAGTTAGTTATCATTTGTCTTTCTATTTTCTATTATGTCCACAAAGAAAACATTTCCTATATATATTTGGAAAAAGATAGATTTGCATTTAAACACATTTTAATTTTTTAAATCTTGTATCAGAAAATTTATGTAGAAAAACCTCTGAAATATAAAATAAAATTATTACCTAGGAAATTTGTATTTAAAATAATAGACTTTCAGACAATATGGTGTATTTATATTAAGGAAAGTTGAAAATAAAGATTCATGCACTTTTATTTAGATTGTACATATGGAAAACCAAAATATAGCTTTAGCAATTTAAGCAGTAATTAATCAATGTATACTGATTCAGACGGCCTGACTAAAAGTAGTCAACCTTAATTGCAGATATAGGCAATATATATTTCCTTTTAAACTAAAAGGGATTGCATTTTTGCTTTATGCAGCTAAGAACAAAACTCAAGAATGGATCCCAAAATCAAACACATCAGAAGTCAAAGAAATTGCCCCACAATCCCAGATTGGTGATTATTTTGTTCTTTCTTTGTTTCTATATAGTTATTTGACAAGAACTTTTATTTAATTGTTTATACTGAGCTAATATTACTTTACATTAATCACATCTCACATTATTTGGAAAAATATATTGAGAGACATACATTTTCCTGATTTTTATTGCTTATTTTATTCAGTGACTTCTAGAGAACCAGTGAATATACATTAATGTGTTTTGTGCAGTTTTGTGAAGTTTTAATTCAGGAAATAGCAGTTAAAGATATATGAGAAGAGCATATAATCCATGGATGGAAGGCCCCTTTTGTCCATTAGGGAAGACTGCTGGACATATGTCAGAAATAGTATTCACCCAGACCCATTGCTCAGGCATTACTGAACCTGTGCTTTTAAAGCCATATATAGTATTTTATATCACACCTGACTTTCTAGCAGAGTGCAGGTTCAGAATTTAGATTCTTTTTTAGCAGTTCATTTTTCTCATGTTCTTACAGTGCTGCACACTTTACAAATAAGTAAGTATGATTGGAATCAAGCTTAACATTTGATAGCTACATTGGACATAATTGTTAATTCTTGGCAACAGCAATAAAATAGTTTGCCAGTGCTTTTGAAATCTTATCAGTTTCTTAGTCTAGTTTACAAACCAGGAAATACTTTTGGTGATAGTCTCTCCAAGTACTAAGTAGGTCCATAACTGCTTCTAAGCTCAGGTATAATCTAATGTATTTTATTAAAAGGAGTTCATGTCCTTCTTAGGAAGAAGATATAATTTAGCCAGGGTGAGATTCTACCAGTTCGCACCTATTCGCTAGAACCAGTTGTTAACATTCTAAGCAGTTCGGAGAACCAGTTGTTGTTCCTGCCTAATCCTGTAAGGAAGGCAGGAAGAAAACATTCTGGTGTTGCTTACAGAAACTGCCTTTCTGTTAACCCTTATTACATTCTTGGCAGGACTAGACTTCCTGTCTCAGGAATGTCTCTGGAGTTTTTTTCCCCTCCTTTGCTGATACCTTGTTTGTGTGGAGTGACCATTCAAAGTTACAATGGCACTGAAAAAAGTGACCTATGACCATTTTTCACAGTTACAACTGTTGCTGCATCCCCATAGTCATGAGAGGTCAGACGAGGAGATGCGTGCCTTGATGTGAGTGATATTGAGTTGGCCATACCCAGCCAATAACATGACCACCAAGCCATGTCCACCAAGTCACATGACCACCAAGCCACACCCACCACCTAAGCCACACCCATAGAACCAATTGTTAAAAATTTGAATCCCACCCCTGAATTTAGTTTACTGATAAAGTTAAATTTAGTTTAAGCTAATAGTTTCTCTCTCTCTCTCTCTCTCTCTCTCTCTCTCTCTCTCTCCCTCCCTCCCTCCCTCCCTCCCTCCCTGCATCCCTCCTCTATCCATCTATCCATCCATCCATCCACCCATCCATCCATCTTCATACAGCTATGGCTGAACAAGATTTGGAAAGGAGTAAACATACAGCATCTGAAGTTCCAAAAGATTCTGCAGTCAGTCAAGGTAACATATTATTTCCATGCTTTATTTTGCTGTTTTGAATTACCAATTAACATGTACTGAACTGAAACAGTGCCATAATGATGCAGGTTTTTTTTTCAAGCTATGAGGTGCTATATTATCTGTGCATTTCTAATTAAAGCATGGGTTAACTTTTTGAATAATTGTGAGATTGTGCCAAAATAGTTGTATAGAAAGGGGCATAGTAATGGCATGTAAAAACAGCACATTTTATAACATTATTCAGTTTTAATTTGTGGAATTTTATGTACAGAACTGCAAGTGCTATGTTGACAGAAAGTAAGGAAAGGTTTTTCAATCTGATTCACTTTATAAAAGCTGGAAGTATAGTTCATGGCCAAAAGTTCTATTGGCTGTAAGCTCTGAGGCCTGTAGTCCTGTCATATCTGGAAAACATCTGGTTATGAATGGCTAATGAAAAATAATAGTTCTTATAAAAATGGCCTTAACTTTTTTTTAAATCTCTGGAAATGAAATTAAATTTTCAAAGCCCAGAAATGAATCATGTAATACGCTTATGAATATTTTATATTTATTGAAATATAGTTCAAGTTATTATAAAGACTGCTAATCAAAGCCCTTCCCAGTATATATTCCAGAGAGAATAGGATAGTGAAGAAAAAGAATATAGATATTAAGTGAAATTGCTTATACCTAAAATGTTATTTAACAAAAGTTTATATTTCTTTGTTTAAATGGTAACAAAGTGACTGTTCCCTTTTTTCAGAAATTTAAAGAATAAAAAGAGAAAAGCAACAGAATTTTTGAACTAGAAAAGAATTGCTGATAGTAGTAGGTGAAATAGATTTCCCATAGTTAATGAGATTTCACTTTAATTTGGAAGAACAAAAAAATAATAAGGAAATCCATCTTTAACAGAGGGGTATGTAACACCCTGTTAATGTAATGCAATCTAATGTTTGTTTATTGAAAAATAAGGCACACTTTATTCAAAGGGACCTTTTTTCCCAGGAATATATATTTCCTGTGTCTTTTCCAGGAATATTTCAACAGTAAGATTTTGAAAAATATTCTGTCATCTAATATTTATTTATTAATTGCTCACTGAATTATTTCCATTTCCTCTATTAACTGAAAAACAGCTTTTGGAGCAATGAAATGAAAACACAAAATACTATCTGGTGAAACCTGCTTTGTTTGAACTATGCCATATATTTGGTCATTTGGTGTGTAAAGAAAAGGTGTTACTTTTGATTTCTTTTAGTTCACACCGAAAGTGAACTGGAATCTTCAAAACCTAGCAAAGTTCCTATGACTGAAATGCCACCTGTCACATTGGGTAAATACTTCATTTACATATCGCAAAGCTACTAGTAGTGCTACTAATATATATAGTACAAACATTATATTTAAATCAATTAAATACCTTGCATTAATGTATTTTTTTATTTTTTGATTATTGCCATCAAGTCATTTTTTTATTTCTAGAAATTACATACATAGATTTTTTTTTCGCATGACAAACTACCCCTAATCTGACCATTTAGGTCTTTTAGCAGTGCACTCATTGTAACCGAGTCCATCTATCTTGTTGATAGTCATCCTCTCCCTTTTTTCTTTCCACCTTTCCCAGAATTAAAGCCTTTCCTGGAAATCTAGATCGTCAAATAATGGTTCCAAAGTCTGTTCACTTGTATTTTGAGATTCCATTGTCTTTGCCATTATTGTCAGCTTTGATTTTATGAAGCTGTCTTCAGCACACTATATATACCCCTGGAATTCATGCTTCATGGTAACTTTAAAAAAAAAAAACATTAGCTAAGAGTACCACCATGAAGATAAACCTATCTTGGAACTGAATCTTTTGCCTTTGCAGTATTTACTAGTAATAATATTAGTACTTCATTTATGTCACTTAAAGAAAATTTCTTGGTTTTCCCAAGCCATCTTTGCTATTAATCTAGCAGTGTAAAATGTTGTGACTTTAAGAATCCATTGAAAAACCACTAGTAGAGTTTACCCTTGTTTTCTATTTATGGTAATTTTAATCATCACAATAAATTCCAGTTTGGTTATAAAAAGGAATGACTTTGTTTTAGTAAAGGAATAGCCACAATCCAACAGACATTAAACATACTTAATCTCACTGAAATAAATCTTCATCACGATGAATCACTCTGTTGGATTCCAGTCAATATCTTTTTCAATCGCATTTTAACAAAACAAAATGATACAATTCTCAAAATACAAGCTTTTACAAGCTGGTGAGCAACAGAGTCTTTTAGATATTTGTAAATTCACATATTTGTTTTTTTGAGCTATCTTTTTGGAGTGGCATTGGCCATTAGCTTAACCATACACATTGTTCTCTCTTTCATCCTGTACAGATGCTTAGACAGGCAGTCCTCAACTTACAATTGTTCATACAGGAAATGTTCAAAGTTACAATGGTACTAAGCAAAGGGATTTATAGTATGACCCATGCCTGAAGTTAGGGACATATAGGTGGGTGAAGGAGTTGTAGGCAGTTGTTCATTTTACTGAAGTTCAGAACTAAGAGACATCAAACCTGGAATGGTTTGGATTGGGGTGGATACTTACTTAAAAAGTATAATCCTTGGTTAAATGGCAACTGGGACTGCCAGGATTGCAGTCACTTTTGTTGCTTCACATTTACAACAATGTCACTTAGCAATGGAGAGTCTGGTACTAATTGTGGACGTGAGTCTATTTCCCTCAGTCTGATTTAGTAAAAATGTTTATACCGTCATTATGTAAGCAGAGAGTGTGTAAACTATAAGATTATGTCCACTATATTATATCATTAAATCATAAGTATTTTTCAAGATTTGTGAAATCATATAGTGGCTTTTCTTGTTTTATTTTTGTTTTTAATATTTAGATCTTCACAAGTTTCTAGGACTTCCAAAAACAAGACCATCTCCTAGGCCTCAAATGCCCACAGAATCATCAGGTAAAGATGATTTCTTTTTAATATTATTTTAATTATATTTTCACTTTGAAATTCTTCAGAAAGGATTAGCATTCTTAGATTATTTTAGTCCTAAAATTCCATCTTGACAACATTTAAGGTTTTTCTTTAGTCTTAATGATAGATTTAGTCTTTATATCATAAATTCTTTGATTGGCATTAAATTATGTCCTGAAAAGGCTTATGGTAGAACAGTCATAATTTTTAATATAAATTTGTACCAATGTTTTATTTTTTAAAAAATGACAATTTCCTTTATTTTAGTTTCAAAGAAAATGCAGCCAGTTCCTTTAGAACCCAAAACACCTGTTCCAAAGACTATACAGACAAAAGCAGGTAATTATTTTTCTCCAATATTACATTTGAATAATGCAGTTTATAAATAAAGCTGTTTTGTATATGTTCAAACAATATTTAGCTAAAGTTACTTCCATTATGATGACTCTACTTCTGGTTCAGATCCAGTATAGGCTTACAGTAAAAAACCCTTATTCTCAGTGTTTAAGCTTGGAAAGTTTAAAGACTATTGTGAATCATTTTCAAATTGTCTCTGAAGAATTGCGGAGTAGAAATGAAAATACCCACTCATCAGGTACGGAAAAGAAATATATTCCTAAATATAACATAGCTATTCTATCTGATTCCAAGACAGTATTCAGAGTACTTGCATGCACAAACATATCCTGTCTTTATAATTGTGATAGATGGATTTCTCATTGTGTTTTGTTAATCAAGCTGTAATGGCATAGTTCACACACATAATACTAAATCATAATAGGAGAGTCTCTGCATCATGCTGAGACAAAAGCACAATTCACATTATGGTTTATTATTTCGCATGACACACAAAATTCGGATTTAGGTTTAAGCAGCAGGAAGTTGAAGCTGAAAAGAAAGAAAAATAAGTCTTTTCTGGTCTTCTTTTAAGGAAGCTATTTGTGACTGAATGTATCAAAAAGGATTAAGGCATCATAGTGGGTGTTTTTTGTTTTTGTTTTGTAAAAGAGAGTGTGTTGTAATTTGTTAAATGAATTTTAATAATATATTGATCTTATTAGAAACGGGCCTGCTGTAAAAGGATCAGGGCTATGATGTTAGTTTTGAACAACTTGAATATTAAACTAAAAAAATGTACTTTCTGTCCTGCACAAACAGCAACTTCAGAAAGGTCAATTTTTATGAGAGCATTGACAAAGAGAGGATGTTTTAACCTCAGATAATATATGTTTCAGATACTTCCAGCTAAACAATATTGTCAAAGATAAAAAAAATTATTCTACAAGAATCTGTAGTTAACATAAGATAGTTAACCATAAGGCTATTTTTATTGAATAAAAACATTTTAAAAATTGTCATCATAGATTTAAAGGTGTTTTTTTCTTTCAATTTTCCTTAACTCCTTTTGATTCATTAATGAATTGATATTACAAAGAAGATTTTATACTTGGCTTGATACTTATTTCAAATAAATTTTCTTGGGAGACTTCAATAAATATGTCCAAGCAACATATTTAAGTGTTTTAGTTGTATGAAATTGTTATAAAATTTGTTTTTTCTACAGGAAGCAATCTTGGTGGGCTACTTATTATAAATTTAAAGTTTCTGTAAAAGACTTCTTTGTTAAAATGGGTATTATATTTTATCAGCACACTAATAGTTCTGAAAATATAATCTGAATCTATCTGTAAATAGAATAAATGCCATTGCTTCAGCCAAAAACTATGATTCATGCAATTTTCCTAATAAAAACTCTTAGGTTATGTCCTTTCTGTTGGCAAAAAACCGTTTTTCCAAGTTAGCATGTTTGTAAATGGACTTTAAATTTAATTAGAAACATAAACATGTTTTATGCATACCATTTTTAATTCATCTAACTTTTTTAAAGATTTTCCTGTTTTTGACACCTTTTCTACGAATATTATTATTATTATTGTTGTTGTTGTTATTATTATTATTATTATTATTTTGTTGGTCACACAGTTAATCAGGTATTTAGACTGGATTTGGCAGTCGCAAGATTAAGATTCTTGTGGAATTTTAATCTCCATTACGAGTTAATGCTTAGAACATGGCTGCAAATGCATCAGGCAGGTTTAAATGTTTTTTTACATTTTGTAGTAAAGTTTGAGGGTTCTCATCAGATTAGTATCTGTTGGGGAAGGTAGATTTCCAGAAATTGTTGTTAGGGAAATTTAAAGCAATGATAGATAGTGAAAGATAAAGATTATGATGGTAGATGAAATGTGATCCTTATGGAAAGTTGGTTCAGAAGTGAATAGGGACATTTTGTTTAATCTACTTATTTGGATATTACACTTCCTATTGTTTTGTTATATTGCCATGCTTCTAATCTCCTTACCAACTGCTATTGTAGTAATTTTACAAGGGAACTGAATATATAATTTCTTTCCTTTGCCACCTAGCAAAGGAATGGTATTTATTTGTGTGCTGTGTTTTCATAAAGTTAGTTGTTTTGTATCTGGCCCTGGAATTGTTTGAGGGGAAAGGTCTGCCTAAGGTTTTAAATTCATGACAAAGGTGATAACAGAAGGAATCCTTATGGTATATAGAAATTTATCTCCCATTCCACATCAAGAAAGCTGATGGATTGCTTATTTTAATAACAAAAAAAAAGAAATATTCCATCTGTGAGAAATAAGATGGGCAAAAAGATGCATAGAAAGCATATTCACCATAGCGCTTGAAGGATCTTGAAGTCTACTAGACTAATGTCCTGCCCAGTGGGGGACTATCCTCTTACTATCCTAGACAAATGTCTATCAAATCTTTTCTTAAAAACTTAAAAACTTCAGGAAATAAGCTGTTCCCATACTTAACGGCTCTCATAGCTGGTAAACTTCTTCTTTTCTCAATTTAGGATCTGGGAAGTGTTCACAAATTGGTACTAGTCTTACCTTCAAGCAATATAGATATTAAGTCCCACTTCCTGTCTTGTACCATCCTATCATGCACTGGAATGCATGCCTCCTCTTAGCCTTGTCTTCTGTAGGGTAAACATATCAAGTTCATTTAACCAGTCTTGGTAGAATTTGGCCAAGTCACTTAGCCAAGTTTTCTCTCTTCTTGGTATTCTTCATAATTCCTTAGCATCATCTTTGTATTGTGGCAACTAGAAATAGCATTCCAGGTGCTTTCTGACCAGTGCTTCATAGATAAGTATTATAACTAATTTTGACACAAAACTTTGTTGATGAAGCTCAAAATTAACTGTTCAGAAATATAATCTATTATTGAAGTAGATGTTAGCTCGATGTTACCATTTAGATTTTGATGATAATAAACTCTTGCCCAATTTTTTCCTTTAATTTTAAGCACTGAAACCTATTTATAGGGTGTTTTTCTCCTCTGGTTCTAAACATTTAGCTATGCATTCCATTAATACATTACTTCCCACATTGTCCTCAAATTGAACTTTTTAACTTGGAGATAACAAAGAATGTTTTTGTTGTACTTTTCTCCCCATGATTTTATAGCCCAGGTTTTGTATGTTTTGCTTTTACTTTAAGAATTGATTGCAGTAAGGCCACCACTGATCCCCAAATCAATTGGAAAAAATGTGAAACTACATACATGGGATTTGGGGTGTATTAATAATTAATAATCTGACTGGAGTGCTAAAATTTGGTCAATACATTTTCAGGTTTAGGAAAAAATGGATTAATTATAGAAATTAATAACAAATATAGGTAAATTAAAATTACAGTGACTTTCACTATAATTGTGCCAACTACAATAAAAAGCCATAGAAAATAAAAGTACATTATTATTTTTTTCTCAAACATGAAGATTCTCTTTAACAAGTATATGTTATTTTCCTTAATCCATTAAAAGGCATTGAGCCTTTTAATAGATTAAGGATACCAAAAGATTGGTATCCTGCCCTTTTTCAGGCAGAGGCAAATTCTAAGGCCCAGAAATGACAAACATGGAAACCTAGTACAGAAGATGTAATGTACCAATCACAACATTTCATTTCAACTTCAGAGGTCATATAATTTGACCACTCAGTATAGGCTGGGTTAGAAATCAATGAAAAACTATAACTGATTCCCAAAGAAACTTCTTGAATTACGTTTCCTGATAGCCAATTATAATTTAACTTCGAAAGTGAAAGAGTTTGTGGCTCAAGATAAACCAACATTTTCACCAAGCACCTCAAACTCCTAGAATATATTCACTGAATCCAGCCTGTATTTATTTATGGCTTAATAGTACATATTTCAGTTTTAATAACAAAGCTAAATATGAAAAATAAGCTGCCTACTTCTTTATCTCTTTTCATCACTAAAACTCATTTAAGTTTTGTTATAATTGTTAAACTTATTTGGTTTTATTCTTTAGTTCTCAGTAGAGAGATCTGCTATTTCTGTAAATAATGAAAAGCAATTGAGAATCACATTGCTTTGTTGAAATGCATATTATGTGCTAATCCAAATAATTGTATTCTGTAAATGAGAAGAACATGTTAGCTGAATGGAAAGATTTCTTGCCTCTTTTTCAAAACCTTTAAAAGTGGTGGTTAGGTTAGAAGATTTGGTGAATTAAAAACTCTCTGATATTTTTCAATTTACCAAACTATTCTGTAGCAGAAGATATTCCAGACTGTGCTTTTGAAAACACTGAGAAATAGAAATGTATCAGCTTTAAACTCTTAATTGGTAGAAGGAAGTTCCCAAGTATTCTTTTCAATAAAAGAAGGAGATTGCTGTTATTCTTCAAATGGAAGTTATCCTTTTTTGATTCTCTGAAATAATTGAGTTTTTATCATTCATACATATAATTGTATTTTGGGCTGGTGCTTCTATGAGCAAATGTTTCATTTCTTCATTACAATCCTGTAATTCCATGCCAGTTTATTTGCATGACATAACTTTGGAAGTCATTCTTTACTAGAAAACTTCAGAAAAAAGTAGATGGCTTTGTGTCAGAGAGCTTGTAATAGAACCTCCACAGAGCAAGGATGGGAGTAGAAGGCCTTTAAAATTCTTTCCAACCATATGATTAAGTAGAATGGTTAGAATTCTCTAAAATGTAATGTTTGGCATTCATTCTGATAAAAGCTATAAGTAGACCAGCATTTGTTCAAATTTAGCTACATTTTCATGAACAGAATTCTTATCAGTGTGAAATTTAAATTGAGTGCTTCATTATAACAACTAATAAATGGGTGAATTAAAAGCAATAAATATTGACTATGAAAATGCTTCATTGTCTATTATAACCAAAATATTTTTCCACAGGCAAAACCTTTTTTAAAAAAAGATTGCTTTTCTTTTACCATCTTTTATACATTCATTTTTTTCTCTAGCAGTAAAAAATGAACCCACTTTGGAATCTTTCCCATCCAAAACATCTAAAACTCTTGACTGGCCAAGGGAAACCCTGGGTAGAGTTATTTTTTCACTGGAAATGATTGTACTGAGTTTTCTATTTCATCAGAAACATTTTCATTCCATGAGAATTAATTTGTTTGAGAATAAAATAGCCATTCCTTCCATACTAACCTTTGTCTATTTTCATCTGCTTTAAAGCCTCTAAAAAAGCTTTGAAAATTGTGGTGCATAATTTTAGATTTGCATGAATTTCTTTTTATTATTATTATTATTCATTTTTATCTAGAGCCATCTTTGTGGGTAGACTGCCTCCTGATTACTCACTTGTTTTGGGAACATTAAGATCTTAAATTATGTACTATAAAACATGCATTATGTCTTTATCATCTTCATCAGCTTGTTGGTCCATTTCTAACTAAATTTCTTCATCATTACAAGATCCTTGCATATGCGATTTTATGTGAGATATTTATAAATCACTCCTGAACAATTTTATATATAAAGTTGATGATCTTTTCAGCACCATCTGAAATCCCATTAATTACATTGAAATGGAAGGTTTCAGCCACCTCAAGAAGATGGCTTGACAAACCTGGTAATTAAAAACCTTTAAGCATGCATGTATATTAATTTGTTTATGAATCACTATAATATGAATTTATATTTTTGAACTTGAATATGAGCAAAAAGTCATTATATGTACCCTTGTAATTAGTATACAAACTTCTAATAATTCTTATTTTCAGGATTTGGTGGGTGCCAATTATTTTATGTTGATTTTATCTTGTATGTGAAAGGGAATTTTGAGTCATGTTACATTTTCACATCTTGTACAATCACTTGAAGAAAGTATGCAGGTTTAATCCTTCTTTCTTTTTGTGCTTATATTGAAAAGGAAAAACATAAATGATTAGTTCAGTATTATGCAAACATTTCTGATTAGCTGGCTCTTCGGTACATTATCAAACCAATGTCTTATAGTGTATATTTGTATGTGTGTATTTGTGTATGAAATAGAGGTATATATTGGCTTTGTGTAGATATAGACATATTGGTATGTGCATGATGATTTTACTTTCATTTCAGATATTAAAAATAAATAAATAGGATAAATAGGAATATTTGCTTTCAGTATTATATATGAAATTTATTTTTTCTGTATAGTGGTTGAATTATGTTATTTTATTTTTAGTGTCTACTCTACCATCTGTGAAGCAAAACATACCCCAAAAATCTAGGATTACTGAAAAACTAGAAGCATCTCCAGGTAACAAAAATCTATTTACAGGTTATATAGTTCTAACTGTATTTTTCAACAGAACAGAATATATGTAAATCAGACTTACATACAGGAATCCTTGGTGACCTCTGACTTTGTATGTTTGCTTGCAGACTTTTCATTACCCAACTAGGTATCAGAATCAGTGGAATCAGTGGAATTTGTTAGTCAGTGGATTTGCTAGTCAGTGGGGTTTGCTACCTGTTTATATAAAATAGCTTGCCCTGACAGTGTTGGTAGGGTCATTTTCTCCTTGATAATATCTTGATTAAGGTTTCTGCCTGATTGTTTGGTATTGATCCTGCTTAACTGGATGTTGGAGAATATTTCTGGTGTTTTTGTTTCCTTCTTGGCTTTTTATTATCGCTTTTCAAGGCTATGTAATTATGATTTATCTCTAAGTGTCTACTGATGGCTGATTTGTCTGAAAACCAAGGTTCCAGGATTTCCCTAGCATTTTCTTTATTTAGGCTGGTCTGGGATGCTCACAATTTTCCAGTTGAAACTATGGTTGTATCCATTTAAATGTTATGGCATTTTTCCTTTGAAATTTGTAACAAACCCTCCTTTTTGCAATGGCAAATAATAAAACAATGATATTTTCAGAAAGAGTAGACTCCAGTCATTAAAAAGTCCTCAAGAAGCTGTTCTGAGCATCCTCCCACATGCAATTTTGTAGTAGGCAGAAAGCTAGAGAAAGTGAGAAACCACAGGAGGGCTACAAACAGAAAACCATGACTTCTGGATGATCTTACAAATTCCATGAATGAAACAAGATGCTTGTACAATAAAAACCTGAATGCATACAGAAGTGTTATTTATCAAATGAGCGGTCAGAATATTTGTTTTTAATTAGCTTTAAATCATATGAGATTTTCATTCTTATTGTCTTATAGATGGCAATCTGGATATTGAAATAATTTATAGACAAACATTATAATGTTTATGTTTATCTTTTGATACATTCAGATAAAGAACTTAAGAGTGGCATGTAATAGAATTGTGTGATGATAATACTATCTACTCAATTGTGTCTGATTTCCTGCAATTCCATGGGCCAGTTCTCTTTACATTTTTTCCAATTGTGTATGGCTTCTTTCAGTTGTTTTATGCTCTGGCTGGTGTCAGCTTTGATGGAGTCTAGCCATTGTGTTTTTGGCAGCCTAATTTCCTTTTACCACTGATCATTGGAAGCATAACTGCCTTTTCCAGTGAGTTCAATCACATGAAATGGCTTAAATAAGTAAGGCAGAATTTTATGATTTTTTCCACCCAGCAATATGTCTAGTTTTATATGCTCCAATGCTTACTTATTTGTCACCCTTGCTGTCCAAGGAATGAGCAAGAGCCTTCTCCAACACCACACCTAAAATGATTCGTTTTCCCTCTTGTCTAGTTTTTTCATGATTCAATTATTGCAGCTGTGGGTAACTATTGGAAAAACAATAGCATGGCATAATCTGTATTTAGTTGCCAAGCTGATGTCCCTGCTTTTGATTCATGTTTATTCATTTTCATCATTGCTGTGTGACCCAGTGCAATTTGACCCTTTATTTCTGAAGTGCATTCATTGCTTTGATCAATTGACAATATTAGGAAAGTAAATTATTGTACTCGTTTCATCTCTTCTCCATTGTTATTTTGACATTTCTATTCCCATGCTATTTGATCTATAGGAAAAGGCGAAATGTCTGTCTCTCTCTTTAAACCTTTTGATCATGTTTTCAGCCTTTTTTGGTTTCTGAGAAGAGACTTTCATTGTCAACATATCGAAAATTGTTGATGTTTTTTCATCTAATCTTTAATGTATTTTTTGATTCTTCAAGCTTTTACATGATCGCTTTGGTATATGTGTTGAAAAAGAAAGGTGAAAAGATGTTTTGTTTCCACAGTGACTTTCTTATTTATGTACAGTGACTGCAGAACTTGAATAGATGTATTGGCATTCCCAGGTCTTCTAAGACTCTCCACAGTGTGTTATGATCAACATAATCAACTTTCTTACAGATATTGATATGCTTTGATATTCCTGAGATTTTTCCATAATCAAGTATAGATTTGAAATATGGTCAGTAGTGCCATGCACCATTCTGAAGCCAACTTGAATATTTGGTAATCTGGTTTATAGAATTCTCCTCCATATATTTATCCAATCTCTACAATTTATATAATTTTAAAACCATCTGTACTGATTACTAGCACCAGTTCTTTGACAAAGAATTCCATTAATTTAATTAAGTATTTTTTTTCTATCTATTTTGATTCTTCTAGGGTGGGTGGGTGATACATTGTAAGATAAACATAAAATCTTTTATCAAGCATGTAATTTATATATATATATATGTGTGTGTGTTTTCTTACGTTTTTGCGGGTACTTACATGTATGGCATTCAGCTTTGTTCGGGTATCTTCCCACGTCATTGTAGTTGTGCTTTTAAAGTTGTAGCAACATTTCAGCAGAATCTCATCTGCCATCATCAGGCTTCTTTTATATATATATAAAAAACACAGACTTTTTTCCACCTTTTTAAATTAAAAAGGCCCAATAATGTAGTCTTCTCTTGCAGGCAACTGCCCTATATCTTTTCCAATGTCTTTTTAAATACATTGGTCAGTATTATAATGCTTACCATAGAGCATCATTATTTTGGAAATTTTATCTTCAATCCCATTTTACTGAAAGGGAATTCCATTGGGCTCTGAAGCCAATTCTAGGGGGAATATTTTTCAATGGTCTTACAATTTAAGCTTATGTTCTCTAATTATCACAATGTCTCAGTGGTTCTTGTTCACATTCTCAAAGGTAATTACCAAGACATTTTAAACAGGAAACACACACCTCAATTTCTTATTGTTCCACATGCATACATCTAGAATCTTTTTCCAACAGTACACAATTATTATCTAGTATCTATGTGGGTAATTTTATACTGTTAGATAAAGACTTCGTTTTTGTAATTTTACAAAATACCTGGTGAAGATAGCTAAATCTATATCTTTCTGCCTGATTTTGACTTTTTGAAGTTTGTCTTTCATGTTTACACTCTTTGTAGCCCTGTTACATGACATTTTATGCGGACCATATAAATGGATAACAGGCAGTTGCCTTTCGGGAAATTAGTATTATCTGTCATAGGTATTATTTATCTCTCCTCCATATACTAAAATAATCATTGTTGTTCAAGAGTTTAACCTAGGCCAGTACAATATATCTTTTCTCTAGGAACATAAATGCTCTCATGGAAAGTGAAGATCTCACCATGAAGAGACAAGGTCTTTTGGAGTAGATGCTAAATAGCCATAGCTGCAACAAAAATTAGCTTCTAGAATAATATTTTATGTGATAGTATCTAATTCCCAAATGATGTTTTTCTATTTTTTTCACTAGCAGAAAAAGAATCACAACAGAAAACCACTCTATCTAGCATTTTTAAGATCCCAGAATTGCCAAGAACAACAATCGATAAAAATTAATTATGTTTACATAAAATTGCAGGAAACTAATTTGCATATATTCTTCAATTTTATATAAGTGGACTATTTCCATAATAGTAGTGGGTGGTCTCTTTGTCTGGCCATGGTGTACCAGCTATTATCTTATGACTGAATTGGCTGTGCTGTTTCTTTGCTTGGTTTTGTTTAAGTTAGAAATCCTAAATGAAAACCATACTTTGTATCAGATTTGATAATCTCATACTTTTAATTTGAATCTGAGTGATAGTTGGTAAAGTCCCACACTATCTACCATTATTTGTATGTGATTGCTGTCATTTGCTGCTTTTCTGAACAGCTTTGTATTAATCAAATGTTTAAACTGCCATGTTCTCTAGCCAGCTATTCTTATTCTTTCTCAGAATGATGTCAATATTTTTTACTTTTGGTTGAATTGGCTACCATTTAATCAAACAAATTAAGTTATGAGAGAAAGTCACACACCACTTTAAGAAAGAGATTAAGGAATCATTTTCCTGAATCTTAACGGATATTGAGTGATGAGTGTATGCTAGCTTCTACTGGAACAAATAAAATAGATTGGGTGTAGTATTTTGTCTTTTTCTTTTCTGTCATAGAAACTCTTCATAGCCCATTAGTAAAACTGAAACTTCCAAGTTACCTTGATTTGGCCCTAGCAATTCTACTCTTTCTATTTGAACTTTGGTAAAGACAAAGTTTTTAGAAATGTATTTTTACATATGCATGTTTGTTAGATGGAATTGCCACCCAGGAGTTATAATTCTGAGTGTGGATTTAAACACTGAATTGGGCTGTAAAAACAAAAATATTGAAAAAGAAGTCTTTCCCCTTTTCATTATGATAAGAAAGAAAAAGAAATTATTTGCAGTAAGATCCATATGTTTAAAGAATTGATTGATACTGACCAAATTTACTGTGCTAGTTATTTTGGGGGGGACACAATGGAAAATTCGTAACATCAAACTGCACAGTATTTTATTGTGTAAAAAGGTGTGAAATAGGTCATGCCCCTTTTAATAGAAGCCAATTTGACAATTTACTACTAAATTTAATAAGCTCAGAGGAAATTATTCATGTCATAGCATCAAAATTGAAATCAACAAAAATAAAATTCCAAAAATCAGTTATGGCTAAATTAGTGAGCCAAATGCTATACATATAGAACCGGAAAAGTAAAGCTCTTTAAAATCAATAAAACTTGTTTCTAATCATTTTAATGTGATTGTATTTCATTAATTATTTTGTTCAAAAAACAAACTCATTTCCTTTTGTTGTAACAGTTGTTTAGAAACTGCCATGTGGGAAAAAGAGGGAGGTAAAACCTTAAAAATACAAATAAAACCCGACGTATAAATTCCTATTTATTAACCATATGGGATGATTTTATGCAATTTTGGATTTAGATGTGCACAAAATTCTCATCTAGTTCAAAAATGCTTGTAAAGAAGCAGTTCTGAGTGCACAATTCTTTTTTTTTTTTAAAGAGAAACTGTCATTTTTCCTTTTTAACCTCCAGTTCGGGGGGGGGGGGGGGAAGGGGGTGGGAATTCCCTGTTTCCAAACTCCAATTTCTTCCCCATCTGGAAGAGCCAAAGATTACACTGGGTAATTGCTATGTACTTTCCTATAAATGTTTTGTTCCACAGCGTGGATCAAGCTTGGACAAATATTTCATAATAACAGAACATGTCACGTTGTTTTTATTATATAACTAACTAAGAAACACAAAATAAAATATACTAATTATAAGGGTTCTTTTGACATCTAGAAATCCAGTAAGATTTCATTATTATGTAACGTCTTTATGCTATCATTTTATGAAATTACTGAATTAATATAATCAGACAATAATTTGGTTAAACATTGGTTGCAAATAGCAGTACATGATAATTAGATTACAATTCTGAAAGCATTTAAAATATTCATAAACAAAATAAAATTACATAAAATTGCTAGTGGCTTCATCGAGTCCATTTTCATTAATTGAAAATATTCTGGTATTATTAATATTAATACCTGTATATTCAAGTTATGTTAAATCAAAAGTGAACTGTTCACTTAATAAGTTCTTGGAAGCTGAATATCAAAAATCTCCGATTCAGCCTGGAATCTTTGGTTCAGCCTCATCCTTATCAATTTCTTTTAATTTAGTGTCTCTAATATCTTCCTCCAATAAACCTAGCTAGAAAGTTACCTTTCTATTATCTCTCTAGCTGAAGATGGACATTATGTCTCCACTGATTTAATTATTGCTTGAAATAGCACAAGCCGCATACCATTTTTAATATTGGAATAAGTGACAGGATTACCTATGCATATAAAAAAAGGGAAAGCCATCTTCAATGTTTTTCTATCAGAACAAAATGTGTGAAGATAAATCTGAAGTAAAACTAGAATTGTTTATGCATATAAGGTATTCTTGAGTTCACTACCTTAGGATTCCATATACACACTATTTTATTCAGGAAGAATGTTGAGGACTTTGCTACAATTAATTTATATTTCCCAAGAAAGTAAAAAAAAAAGTCTGGATATAGGCGTTACTTCTCTCCATGATGTTTGTTACAATTATCTTCCATACAGCATAATGTCTTGTATCCTTATAATAAAAGATAATCCAGGTAAATGAGAAGCAATTGATGTGAATTTTTATTTAAAATATTTTAATAATATTATTTAGAGTTATGATTATGATTTATGAGATCAACATGTAAACCTGAATATATTAATAAAGAGATAGATTTCTTCTAAAAATATGCCATGGATTTATTTTTGGTTGTGATAAGAAAAATGGAATTGGTGATACTTAATCTATTCCCAAAAAGTGATCCTTAAAATGGCAGCTATCTGGCATGTTTAATTTGGAACATTAGTTAAGTAAATAAAAAATAACTGGACAGGGTGCTAATACAATTCCTTTGTATTTAATTATTTCCCATAAGCATTTATATTTAACAAATCTCTTTCATTTTTTTCTATTTTAAGCAGTATCCTACAAAGTTGATGTATTTCCTTCTTTAAAAATGTTTGAAAATAAGAAAAAAATGATCCTAGGAATTTTGGCCTAAACTATTTTAAAGATGTGCCCTTGTGAAAGTTCATTTTTCCAACAATGTCTATATTTAATTTTCAAGAACAGACTCTAGTGTTTCATTTATAAAATATAGTTTCTTTGCATCCTTTTTTGCTTTATAATTTAGTTCCCCTAGTTTATCCATATTCTCTCTCAGACTAACCTATTTCATTGGGTTTTGTTGTGGGAATAAAATGAAGACTGAGCCCATCATAAGTTGCCCTAAGTTCCTAGGAGGGAAGATAAAAAATTTAACAAACCATCTAAACCAAAAAAATGTCAGCAGTTATACATGCACTTCAGTATTCTAGAGAGTAAGCTCTACTGTTTATTTTTAAAAAAAAAAAAAACCACGAGCTTATTTTTTCAAGTTGCTCAACAAATGTACATTGTAATAAATTATTTCATTATCACAACATTTAACAAGCCTTTAACATTTAGAGAAAGTTCAGGGTTCCCTATAATGTTAGCTCTGTCACATAAGGATTGGATGGAGTGTCCAAAGAAGAGATGGGAAATTTGATACAATGTCTCTGAAGAAAGGAGAGATTCCATCAGTTTTGAAAGAGTCAGTGGTCTCTCCATTCCTCAACAGGTCACTCCTGGACCCAACATTGTTAAAAAAAAATGGTTCCTACCTCATCAAAGCAGCTATCAATTTGGAAGTGTGGCTCCAGATCATTGACAATTTTCTCTCTCTCTGCAGAGGTTCCTTCTAGACTCAGTGGTCCTGTTCAAAGAGTAGGTGGAAATTAGGTCAGGCAGACCTGGCTTCGACTGATCTGCCAATTGTGGTCTTATCTGGAAGATGATGTCCTAAGGATAGTTTTTTTATGCTCTTGTCATTTTGTAACTGGACTAATGTAATTTACTCTACGTGATGTTTTTCTTTAAGATCACCCACAAATTGCAATATGTAATTGTAATAAAATGCAATAACTTTCCACTTCAAGACTTGTATATTTAAGTTTTTTGGGGAAGGCCTTTTGGAAGTGATAATTGTGAAACCCTGGGTGTAGAAATTGGTTGTGTCGTGTCATGTATTTATGATGTTATATGATATATATGTTGTGTGTTGTATATTTATTATTTGCTGTATGTTATATGTTATATGGGAATATTATTTGTCCCATCTAGAAATCTGGATTAAGACAGTAAGATAGCTAGATAGCTAGATAGCTAGATAGCTAGATAGCTAGATAGCTAGGTAGATAGCTAGGTAGATAGATAGATAGATAGATAGATAGATAGATAGATAGATAGATAGATAGATAGATAGATAGATAGAATTCTTTATTGGCCAAGTGTGATTGGACACACAAGGAATTTGTCTTGGTGCAAATACTCTTGGTGTACATAAAAGAAAGGATACATTCATCTAGAGTCAAGAATCATAAGGTACAACACGTAATAACAGTCATAGGGTACAGTAAGCAATCAAATCATACTAGGAAACAGTCAATAGAAATTTTAAGGATTCAAGCGACAAAGTTACAGTCATACAGTCACAAGTGGGAGGGGAGGGGTGATAAGGAGTGATGAGAAGATTAATAGTAATAGTAGTACAAGCTTTGTAAATAGTTGGACAGTGTTGAGGGAATTATTTGTTTAGCAGAGTGATGGCATTCAGGGAAAATCTGTCCTTGTGTTTAGTTGTTCTGGTGTGCAGTGCTCTATAATGTCATTTTGAGGGTAGGAGTTGAAATAGTTTATGTCTGGGATATGAGGGGTCTGTAAATATTTTCACAGCCCTTTTTTTGACTCATGAGGTATATATGTTCTCAATTGAAGACAGGTTGGTAGTAATTGTTTTTTCTGCAGTCCTAATTATCTTCTGAAGTCTGTGTCTGTCCTGTTGGGTTGCAAAACCAAACCAAATGCATTGAGTCAATAAATGAATATGCTAAATACTACCTATTCAATGTAGTGTTTCAGTATCATTCCTGAAAAAGCTTTTCAATTTATATGAAATCCAGACTCATATACAGTACTAATTATCTGATATTTTAATTGTCTTTCACAAATAATATGCTATTAAAATATCCCATGAACAATACCAGACTTAAAACCCTGAATCTTTAGATTTCTTTCCTCTGTTTCAGTATGATATCTTTTATACTCCAGCAGTTACCAACAAATTGGTTCCACTTCCTGCTACAACAAAGATATCTGTCACTGATGGACATCCAGTGACAACAATGGGTAACATATCTTTTACTTCAACAACTCCTCATTCTCATATTACTTTCTTCTCATACTCATATGTATCTATCCATCATTTTTACTGTAGTTGTACTATATTTACATATGTTTTATCCACATATGCAATTTATTTATCATTAACATTTTAATAAGTTATTTAAATACTGTGTATTCCTTATATAATGATTAAAAGAGGTATTTGATTCACTAAATTTTATAAACTTTGAATCTAAACTGTTGCATTCTATTGAATTGTACTAAATCTGGGTAAATTTGTGAGCCTCTAAAATAAGAATATCAAATGTGATATGAGTATGTGTAGGATGAAAGTAATAGAGTCCATGATTCCATGTCTGACAGAATTAGGCATATGCTTAACCGATTGGATGAGTAGACTTAGTAAAGTAATAGCATAATGTGCACTTGATTCTTAATATGTTGTAATTTTTGCCCCAATTGGGCCATCATTGCATTGAAACCAGTCACACAATTTCAATTGAGAAAGGGATAATTGAAATCAGATTACTAGAAAAAAGTTCAATATATTACAAGATAAAACTTTACAATTAATCTATGAATAATTTCATTAGTTATTTCTAATTAGTATTTAAATTCCAATAATTACTATAATTTGATCAACATTTTTAAAAATATTTTCAAATATTTTCAAAAACTCCACCAACCACATCTGGAAAATCATAATTTAATAGTTCCAAAATAACCTGCTGGATTATTTTTATTTTCATAAATAAGTATTTACTCTTAATCCCAATGTAGAAAAATGTTTCAGAATACAAAACTTTCTTAACTAGGGTAGAATGTTGCAAATAAATTAAGTAACTCAACTGATTGTTTTTTTAAAAAATAACTAATAAATTTCTAAAAGATTGAGACTATGTTCTCAATAAAGTACAGCCCAATATTTGAAAATGATTATATTAAGTCATATAAACAAAAAATGTTGAGAGGCGAAAGTTTTGCCCTTCACCTGATAAACATTACCCTAAAACTTTTGTGCTATCAGTGAGACATACTTTTGCAGTCAAAATTCTCTACCCTTTGCTGAATTCAACTTAATTTTAAGTCAAGGGTCTTCAAACTTGGCAAGTTTAAGACTTATGGACTTCAATTCTCAGAACTCTTGAGGTAACATGGAGGAGGAATTCTGGGAGTTGAAATCCACAAGTTAAAGCTGTCTATTTTGAAGACCCCTGCTCTAAGTGATACATTTTTAAAAACATGTACTTCATGTCACTAACATTTCAAGACAAATTTGAGCTTTGAAAATACAGTATTGTTTTTCAATACGCTTTTACCATAGCAGATAATTTTTTCCCTAAACTATTCATAACATCAGAATCTCACTTATTAAACTTGGTAATTATATCTTTAGATATCTCATAAAACCTTGGGTGATTTTATTGTACAAAGTACATTAATAGTAGCTATTAATGTGAGCATTTCTCGAATTCAAAATCTAGAAATCTGAAGCAATTTCTCCTTGATACACACATAGCTAATCATACTATAATATGCAGAATTATAAAAGTAGGAAAATAAGTAAACAATTTCCATTTTTAGAAATACTAGATTATTTGTCCTTTATATGAAAATGGAATCAATGTTTTACAGGATTTCCTTACATATCACAATTAAACGATAAAGTTGTGGTAATCAGTCTTACTACAAAAAAATAATAATATGCAAAATAGAGGGATTTACAGGATCAACTTATAATTGATCATTTAGCTCATTTTTCACCTATCTATTCTTTTAAATTTATAACATACCATCAATACTTTTCTCTTTTTTATTGCTTTTCAACTCAATTCCCCTGGGGTTTATTTTTGTTTTGTTTGTTCATGAAAATTCTTCTATGCAATATTTTAGTTATAAATTATTGCTATTATAATATTTTAAGTCTGTATGTTTTCCTGTTGTACCATGAATTAATTCTTGAGTGCATCCTACTTTAAGCTTCTTATGAACCAAGCCCTATTTCATAAAAATCTAAAGAACCTGATTTTACAATGCCAGAACCAGCAGACAGGAATCCTGGCAGACTGACTTTTTAAATATTGCATTTTTTATATATCTGTTAAAATATTCTTGAATTGGATATATAGTTTCAAAGACCCCAATATGAGATTCAGGCTTCATTAAAATTTTATAAAATTCTGAAAAACCATTAATGAAATACAGTGACAGGATTTTTTGCTTATTTTCAGCCTAATTCAGATTTTTGAAGATTGGATCTTATGCAACCTATTGCAAAAGAAATATTTTATGCAATACATCTTAATAAATAATAACTATGATCACTTTCAATAACATAAAGCACATTATCTAGGTTTGATAGATTGGATGTAAATATACCATTCAATCCTAGTATACTTTGCACTAAGGAAGAAAGTTCCCTTCTAATACCCACACCGAAACTCAAATTTTCTGTGCATGGTAATATGTTTTTCAATGTTTCCTGAAATTTTATGTCATGCGGTAATTAGTTATCAATACATTAATGTGGCCATTAATGTATGAATATCTGGAATGCAAGTTCTCTTTGACTTATATCTAGCAATAAAACACAAGCAAGACAATATTTAAACAAGCAAACTTGACTTAAAAGAGAAAGGTGAATGCAAATGAAGTTAATACAATTAATTACAATGTCAGAATAAATTGTGAACTTCAAATTTGAGAGCCAATGCAGGAAAATTTGTTTATAAATTGGCACAATATAAACACGTTAGACATCAAAAAATAATTGTCCTCAGCAAACTCCGAAGTTAAACAAATCCATTGTCCTTGAAATAATAATATGTAGCTCATACTAAACCAGGTCAAACTTACGGCCCGCAGACTGGATGTGCTGGTCATGCCCCCAGTTTAACAAAGGGGGGGAAAGTCATGATACATCTTGATGACAATGTGAAATCACGAGTTTGACACCCGTGTGTTTAACAATTCAAATATCTCTTCTTGAAATTATATTCAATACTATTCTTTCACTTAACTGTCTTTTTCTTTCCGGAGAATATTTCAGGAGTCAATTCCCCTACAGGCTCAAACTTTGGTTATTTAAGAAATACTTTGAATATTAATATGTTCCCACCAAATTGAAAGTCCATCCTTTCAAGATACTGTATTAATTCTCAACTGGATTTCTTTTCAGCTTCAAAAGAAATAAACCCTGTTCCATCAAAGTCTAAAGAATTCGACTATACCCAGCCAGAAGAACCAGACAGGAAATTTGGTATAATGATTTTTAAATATTTCTTTCTGCTACTTTACAAGATAACTATTTGAATATGTCTACTGTGTTCTTATACTATATGAATATGAAATCCATATTTTGGGGTTGTTTGCTTTTTTTGCAGTTTCAACTGACGATGATAATTATCTTCCTAACCTCTTGACTACGCCAGAATTTCCAATTACCAAACCTGGTAATTTTATGTTTCGATATTTGATAAAATCTTGCACATTGTGATTGAAGGCTACTTAGAAACAAGTAGATTCAAGGCTTAAAGAAACTTTGACAGATATGCTTGTTGATCATATGCAAAGCTTTACAACATACACCCACAATATTGGAAGAATCCAACAATTAAAAAAATTCTTGTAATTATTTTTCATGGGATTTCACACATAGGTACATATCACTCTCTCTGAATTATTTATTCTTCAGTTCAAAACACTTCCAAATATATGATTACTATCAGATGGTATTTTGAATCTTGTACTTCCCTTTCAAATGTAGATTAATTTTAGACAGAACTTCCTTTCAACTTATTTTAAACAAGCCTGCTTCTGCAAAAGTTTAAAGAACCTGACTACATCATGCCAGGAATACCAAACACATCTTTCTATTTCTGGAATTTATATAATGTATTCCTTTCTGAAATGAACATGAATTCCAGGCTTCCTTGAAATTATAAAATGCATAAATTCTTCCATCATAAGTGTTGTACAAAACTGTGTAAAAAGGAATAGAAGTACACATTCAAATCTGAATACATCACACCATGCACAACAAAATTTCTTTAATGTCCTTTATTGGAGATTAAAATTAACATAAGACAGTATATCATTTCATAATAAAACCATGCATAATGATGCCTTTTAAGAAACATGGGGTACCTAAGTGTACAGTGTCAATATGGACATTTATTTTGGGATTGTTTGCTTTTTTTCAGTTTCAGCTAAAGATAATTATCTCCCTAAAGTTTTCATCACATCAGAACCACCAATCACCAAACCTGGTAATAATGGCTTCACATATGTTTGATAAAATTGAATATAGTTTGTTTGTGTCTGAGAATGTATAGTAAACACAAATGCAAGTAAACACAAAGAGTTGTTGCACAGGCTGAAACTTTAAAAGACATACCTGTGGATGATACGTAGAGCTTCAATACAAAGATGCATAATGTTACGAGACCATCCTTATTGTATAGTGTTACTTTCGATATTGATTTTATCAAGGTATAACTCCCATTACCCTGGGAGGATACTGACTTCCTCATTTCAAAATTCAATCATACGATTAGAATAACATCGTATATTGAATCTTGTACTATGCTGTTAAATGTAGATTAATTTTAAAGGGATAAAGACCCCAACTACATCATGAATGAAGACATCAAACATGGTAGAGTGACTAATTTAACATGCTTCTCTCTACCTCAAAAATGTATCTAATATATTCCTTTCCGAAACGAGCATGAACTCCAGACTTCATAAATATATTCTATTCCAACCAGAAGACACAGAACCATAAAAACCAAAAATTTCCAAGATCCCTTTACATGAAAGATGAAAATTCTTCCAAGTCAGTATATTTCTCTATAGTACCTGATCATTCCATTTTAAGATAAAATAACTCTTAGGCTGACATAGGTGAAACCATGTCCACATGTAAAATGTGAACTTTTTGAAGGGATTGTTTGCTTTTTTCTAGTTTCAAAAGAGGACAATAATTATCTTCCTAAAGTCTTCAGCAGGCCAGATCTTCCAATTACCAAATCTGGTAATTATGTGTTATCATATGGTTATTATAAAAATGTAGACAGAGTGACAGTATTGAGAGAACATTCACTTTTTTCAAGCTACTTTAGATCTTTGTTTTCCCAGGTTAAAATCTGTTACCCTTTGAGAATTCTTTCTTCTTCAGTTCAAAATGGTTTCAAAAGTAACATGGTATTTTGAATCCCATACTTAGCTGTCAAATGTAGATTAATTTTGGACTGGACTTCCTTTCAGATTCTT